GTAAGGCACCCCCGCGATAACCCGTATAGAAAATCACGATAACCCCGATAACCGTAGAAGACTACGGTATAACGATAGCACGAACGACTTAGCCATTACGGTACCGATACTCTTATAAAGATTGTCGACGCTATTTAGGGGGTAAAGATAAAAGGACCTCGTATAACGGACTATAACGCGTATAGGTAATCGTAAGTGCCTACGTAGATCCGGCGGATACTATCCCTTTACCCGTTAAAGCTCGGAGAGGCCTTAGCTATTAATTTTCACGATTTAAAAGAGTCGGAATTACTAGGCGGCCTATATAAGTCTATTATATTTATTATAGACGTGTATATAGGTTATACATAGGATTATTACCTATAGAAGAGAGACTAAGGCTTTATCCTATACGCGTTAAAAGACGTTTTTTACCCTGCTTAAAACCTAATTCGATATTAGGCTATATATTCTACGGGCCGATTCTAAGATATTTTAGTACCTAGAAGTCGTTGCTTTCCTCGCTACTATGGGGGTAGAAGGCTAGCCGTCGGTATTATACTTATAGGATTAAAACGGCGTTATAGAACGGATTAAAGGTATCGTTAAAAGAAGGGCGAGGGCTATAAGAATTAGAGCTAATCTGCCTATATCTATCTAGCCTAAGATCTTTAAGACTACTATACATCTATACAATAGGACGCCACGATACATTAACGACTAGCGAACGCTATATAAAGGCCTATGCGGCTATTAACCTGACCTTACGCACCTATAAGCTTACGGTTATAAAGCCTTTATAAAAACGCGCGATGCCTAAGCTGAAAGGAACCGCCTATAAAGGCTAGAACCGAAGGTATAGATCGGTTATTATATCGGATACTAATCCTCGAATAGCTTCTATATTTAGCCGCTATACCTAACGGATATTATTACTATAAACGACGTGGTCTTTAACGAAGATAAGATATTTAATAGTAGGATTAAAACGCCATAAGCTATAGCTTCCGCCGAGGAAATCGGGGAATACCTATAATCTATCCGTATTACCTAATCTAATAAAACCGCGAATAGGCTACTATTAAGGGGTATAGCCGTAGACGTCTTAGATCTTAAGTCGGAAGACTCTAACGCTACCGCTATTACTACGGGTAAAGGCGATACTACCGCTATTACTACGGATAAAGGCGAGGCCGTCGCTATTACTATAAGAGAGGCTATTATTATTACTATAGACTATATCGCTACTCGTTACGAGGTTCTAAATCTATAGCCTAATACCTAGGCTATAGATTTAGAACCTTATAACTCTAACGCTACCGCTATTACTACGGGTACCGCTATTACTACGGATACTATAATTACTATAGGAGAAGACTATACTACTATTATTACTATGGGCGAAGGCGATAATACCGCTATTACTACGGGCGAGGAAAAGGCTACCGCTATTACTACGGATACTCCACGGTTTACCACTATAAGGTTTAAGCCGTTTTCTACGCCTCTAATATCCCCGGAAGATCCTGCGCGCGCGTTCCTTATAGCGTTAGCGGTGCTTAGGGGCGTTAAGGTAGAAGGAGACAATAACTACTAACAGGTAGCCGCGGATACCCTTAGGGGGTGCTTATTGGTCGCGCGCCTATTACCCGCGCGCCTATCTATCGTAAGCCTTTATATAACTAAGAAGGTGTAGAACGATAACGCCTAGAAGGCGTTCTTTAACACTAGAAGGACTTATAACCATATACGCATAAGGAAGTAAGCTATTAATAATAACGATATCAGTACTATAGATCCCTCTCCCTTTAACGCCTCCTAGCCGTTATCGTATATAACCCGCGAGGATCTCCCGCCTCCAGTAAACCACTACCGCGGTATACGCCTTTACCCGTTACGGGAGCGGTGATTATAGGCCGAGGGGGAATACCTCAAGGGCTATTAATAGATAGGCTATTAATAGGAGGTAGGCGGTAATTAGGCTAATAAGTAATAAGTCCTCGTCTATAGATAAGTATATACCTATAAACTTAATAAGGAGGGCACCCTTCTTAAGTATAAGGCACGCCTTATAGTGCGAGGGGATTAATAAAAACGGTTAGAGACTAAAGATAATTACGCCGCTACGCTAGCCTCGTGGTCTTTCCGTATACTAATAGCGATTGCCGCACGATTTAACCTAGAAATAAGGTAGTTCGACGCTATTAACACGTTCGTTAACGCTAGCCTTAAAAAGGAAGTATTTATAAAGATACCATAAGGCTACGAAGTGCCAGGTAAGGTACTACTACTACGGAAAGCCCTCTTCGGTTTAAGGGTATCGCTACTACTATAGTGGGAGGAATTTAGCGGTATATTATAGAAGATAGAATTTATAGCCGTACCTAATAACCACTATATTATAATCCGCGATAGTTTAATCCTATTCTTCTACGTTAACGATATCGGACTTATCTACTATAGAGATTATAAGACTAACGCCGATAACCTTAAGGCTACCCTTAAACGAAGCTATAGGCTATTGGGAGGCGATAAAATCCGTTATTTTCTTAGAATTAAGGTTCTAAGGGATAAAGCCATACGTAGGTTATAGCTATTATAATCCTCCTACGTAGAGAAGATCGCGGTTAAATACTACGTAGATATACTCTGCCGAAAACTACTAAAGGTCCTATTATCTATAGAGCCGTTAATACCACGCGACGGCACGCGCGTGTTAATTCCCGAGGTCTGCTAATACTAGGGTATAATCGGTTCTATCCTATATACCGTTATCGTGATAAGACCTAATATCGTGTTCGCCTATTCGAAGCTTTCCTAATATAACGTTAACCCCTCCTCTAATTACCTTAAGAGGGCTTAATAAGTGCTACTATTCTTATACTGTATAAGGCACCACTACCTAGAATTCGGTGGGGATAGACTCTTTCTAACCGTAAACGACGCGTCCTTCGGGGATAATCCAGACCGTAAGAGTTTATAAGGATATACAATAAAGCTCTTCGGTAGCACCGTTAACTAAAAGGCGGGTCAGTAACCGATAGTCACGATATCGTTAATAGAATCGGAACTACTCGCTCTTATAAAGGCCGCTAAAGAGATATTATTTATTAGCCGGATATTAAGAGATTTAGAGCTTCGGTTAGACTAATAGTAACTATAGCTATACCACGATAATTAGCAGACTATTAACCTTATTAATAAAAAGGAATAATGCCTACGAATAAGGCTATAGTATATCGATATTTATAACTAGTATAGACGACTAGTTATAGGTCCGTTAACTAAGTGCGTAGTTAGGAAGATCCGGAGTATAGCCGGATCCTCTATATCGGGGTCAACCCGTAATAACTAGTAGGTATATTAGTTAGTATAGCAGGGCCTTTTTAAGGTTATATACGTTAATATAAAGAAGATAATCGCGGACGGTTTAATAAAGATATTACTAGAGGCAGGGATTAAAAGATTATAGTAATAGCTTAATTTAACTAATTAAAAGAATTATATTAAATAGTCTAAACGACTACACGAAGAGATTAAACGCGCTTAAGCCACGGCTATAGCGACTATAAAGGTCCCCGAGGGCGTAGTAGATCCGATAATTATAGATCCAATTAAGTAGATCTGGTTAATTAGGATTAAGGAACTAATTAAGATAGAATTAAATTAAACGGTTAAATAGGGCGGATTTAGATCCCTTTTACGAGGGCGTTTTCCCTTAGCGGTTAATTTTTCGATAGAAAAGTTAAGAGCGTTTAGTTTAAACCGAAGCCTCTAATTAATTAGTTAACCTGGAAAGACCCACCTTAACTAAGGGGGTGTATCGTATAGGCACACGGACTATAACATGGTCTATAGGGGATCTAGGGGGGATCCACGCTATAACTAAGGGCTTCGGATATCGGGGACCTCGGGTATTAGGATATAATAGGGGCGGATACCGGAAAAGACCGAATAGGATCTAAATAACTTAGTACCCATAACAGAGTCTTTATTACCCAAATTAAGGGCATAAGAGACTCTCCTAGATATAACTTAATATAAGACACACACACGAGATTTCTGCTCTACTAAGTTAATTATCTAAGTGCCTTTTAACGTGCGACAGGAGGAGGCCCGCCTAAAGTAAGAAGAAAACAAGGAATCCGAGGAGATAAATACATTAGTAGCGTTAATAGCAATATAAGCTTAGATAGTTAGTTTCTAATTAAGTATAGTGTTGTTAATTAAGTATTAATTAGGTATATAATAGTATAATAAGTATAGTATTCTACTCTAGTAGTATATATAAATTAAGTAGTATACTTATATTCGGTACTCTTATCTTTATAGCTCCACTTAAAAGTGGGTTTACATATCACGGGGACAAAACTTATATATCGGGGAGTCAGTCCCTACTTTGGATAATAATATAATAGGAAACGATAAAACGATAAAATAAAATAGAAGTATACGGATACTACTAGTAGAATGGCTTTAGCCGTAATAGACTTAAGCCTTTAAAATAGAATATCTGCCTTAGAGCTATTAGACTAATCGAAATAGAGTCGTTTTACTAGAGCGCCGGCTTATAACTATTAGAATATAAATAAAGTACGGAAGATTCTATATATATTTATCTAAGTAAAGTTCGTAGTACTTTACGGGAACATCTAACTATTAGGGAAAAGCAGGGGAAATAATTATGGATATATATAATCGAGGTACTCTATATATCTAATATAATATGGTTTATCGCACCTCGATAAGGTGGCTAAGGGCATCTGATATTATCCGTGAGGTGAGATTACGATTCCAATCCGCTCTTCATATTCATACCTTCTAACATAAGAGAGCGCTGCCAGGGCATAATCCAACTACTACCGCTATAAAGTAGTTTTCGCCATTACCGCCAACTTAAAATACCAGCACGAATGTATGTTGCCGTGCACTCCCATGGCCCTTTAGCCCTGGGTATAACCCTCACTACTGCCCCCCGACAAGGGAAAAAGCAGGCGCAACTTCCCCCCCGCCTCCCCCCTCCGCAACACCTCAAGATGGGCGGCCAAGTCGGCATCACGCAAGAAAAGCTCAAAGTTAGTAAGGAAGCAAAACCCAATCTCCAGCCGCGCAAGCTCTGGCTCGCCCACACCGCCCACGCGCGCCATCTTACGGTGGCCGTACCGCTGGTCCTCGAGCGCCTTCATGGTGACGCGCAGCGCGCCGAGGACGAGGCGGTGCACGGTGCGCGGCGTGACGTGGATGACGCGCTCGTCGACGGCCAGGCGGTAGATGTAGAGGCTCGTGGCCAGGTAGACGGCCGTGCTCGTGGGGCAGTAGGAGTGCAGGCGCTCCAGGTAGTCGGTGACGGTAATGGGCGGGGGTTTGCGGCAGTAGAACTTGCGGGTGATGGCGTTGTGCTGTTCCTTGTGCGGCTCGGTGTTGGCCCAGACGATTTTGGGTTCGGATGAGCTTGAGCTTGAGCTTGGCGGCGGGTGGTGGGCGAAGGTGGAGGTGGAGGTGGAGCGGAGTCGGATGCCGTCTATGGGCCCGGGCGTCAAGGACAAGTCGTGGGAGGGGGTCCGCCTTAAGGGTACATCCGGAGCCATAGCGGCGGCAGCTTCTGCTTCGGCTTTGGCTTGGGCCTCGGCCCGTTCCCGCATGAGGGCGAGTTCCCTTTCCGAATTGGACCGCTTGATATTATCTTTCTCCCACTGCATTCCCCGCAGGTGGTGCGTCGTCACGGCGGTAGACGGCGCGGTCGAAGGGATGTCGCCGGTCGAGTGGACGAGCGCTTCGATACTAATCGCGAGGATCTTCATGGCCGTGCGTGGGGCCATGCGCCATACCTCTTCATACGGCCCTTTGGACACAGACTCGGGCAGCATGGCTGCGAAGCTCACGAGACTGGGGTCGGATGATGGGGTCGGCGGAGGAGGTAACTCGGGGAGCTGGCTGGTATCGGAGTCGGCTTGTTCGAGGGACGGGCCCTGGGAGTCGCCCGGGGGTGACGGCATAGCGGCCACAGCGGAAGACGGGTTCGACGGTGTATTCGGAGATGTTCGTTGCAATCAAGATATTCGTTGCGATTGCACCAGGGCGGCCGAGACACCAAGGAACCAAGGCACCAAGCCGACTAGCCAGTCGTACGGGACGTCGACGTCGACGGCGAATGGTGCTTCAGCCCTGATTTTCAACGGGGCATTCGGGTTCGATCAGTCTCGGGATAGAATCGCAGAGCCGGTGCATGTTCTCAACGTCAGATCCGACAGGTGTGGACGACTGCTGGACGATAATTGACGATTGTTGACGGCAATAGCTTTAATCTTTCCTCGTCCCGACCAGGCAAGAAACATGAATGGACCGAAAGAAAATCTAAATGAGACAACGACGCCTTTGTCGAGAGGCAAACGGACCGAGAGAGAATCCAAAAGGGTCAAGTTGGCGTGAAGCGGGGCAAATGATGATTCCTCTCGCCCTGACGTAGGAACATATCTGGGCCCTTCATTTACTTCGTTGATAGCAGTTGTCCAATGGGAGATACTCGGCAACAAATGAGCACGCGGCGCCGCCAGGAAACGATTGATAAGGTATAGTTGACGTTGAGTCTTGTCTGTTGAGATGGGTTGGAGGAGAGAGCGATGGAGAAATGGGGAAATGTGGAAATGGAGAAATACCTGAGCAATTATTGAGGAGGAGGAGGAAAGTGAATTCTTATGGGAGTTGCGGTCGAGACGCAGGCGCATGTCATTGTACGGAGTATCGCCGTACTCGTACGTCCATACCTACCGTACCTACCTTATTACCTAAAAAGGTACGAAGTGCTCCGTAAGACGACGAAACGTAAAGCGACACGTGACCTTGCTCGGATGACAGCTTTTACCGAGTACGGCCTATGGGCTCGCTTAGCGGCCCGCCCCCTTAGCGGTCACATGTGCTCTTATCCCGTCGGGTTAGGAAGGCTAGCAGCGGTCTGCCTTTTTCACAACTTGGGGAACTCGCTGTCTTAACGGATAGGTATGAAATCATACCGTATTACTTGCTTGTTAGCTTTGCACGCACCGAAATCTCACGGTTCTCGCCATACGGAGCAAATTTCTAGGAAAGCGAATTGAAATGGACCATGCGTACAGTTGGTACCCCGGTTCCGGCCTTCCGGGAAGGTTCCTGGGGGTTTGCAACGGTCTGGATTCGGGAATTCTCAATCCTCGCTCAGAAGCTGCTTAGGCTGCTTAGCCCTGAAGCGACGAGAACTCACGAAGAACAGTACCTACCTTAGGTATCTAGCTCTCGACGCGGTAACGGATCTTAGCGTGCTCTTATTCCATTGAATGTCGCGTACCGTACCTTACGGAGTACCTTCGAAGCACAGCCCACTCTTCCAACTCCAAAGGTACCAGAGGTCGAGCCCAGCTTAGTCTCCCAAGATAGTCAATACCTCGCACCGGTCTATTATTCGCTGTGGAGCCAAGTCGCTCTACTTCGCAGTACATCACACGAATAGAATAGAATCTTCGTACTTCTCGAGACCGCACCATCAAACGAGGTCTCCCCAAAAACATGCCTCCGGTCTCTGCCATACCACATGGGCCATGGCAATGCCTCAGCATCCGGTAACCACCTTACAGTCCAGAACAGCAGACTGCCCCCCCTTCACCGTCTCAATGGCCTTGGCTAGCACGCTCTCCAGCTCCTCAACCCCATCCACCCGGGCCGCGAACAAGTCACCCCCAGCAGCCGCCTTGGCGATGCCCGAGTAATCAGGCGACGGGCTCAGCGAGATGTTCAGCTCCTCGTTCGACGCCTTGGACCCCCCGCCGTCGGGGTGGACCAGGAGCAGCGACCTGCGCGGCGCGTTCCAGCCCTTGTTATTCAGGATGATGGTCAGCACGGGGATGCCGTACCGCTTCGAGATCCAGTACACGCTGCCCGGCACCGAGAAGAGGAACGTCCCGTCCCCGACGATCTGCACCACGAACTTGCCCTTGCCCGCCCCGCCGCTCTCCACGTCCGACGCCAGCTTGATCCCCAACGCGCCGCCGCCCGACCACCCTAGCCCGCCGCCGCCGCAGTTGATCCACGACCCGGGTAGCGTGGCCCGGATGCTGTCCGACACGAACACCGTGTTGGTCACGGCCTCGATGGCCCAGATCGTGTCTTCGGGACACATGGCCCTGAGTTTGCGGCAGAGGTAGCCCGTGCCGAACTCGCCGTTGTCTAGCGGCTTATGGGTCGCGTCGATGGTCGCCAGCCGTCGCTCGTACGATTCCTCCCGAGCGAGTGCCGCTGCCTCCTGTCGTTGGGGGTCGAGCAGCGCGGCCGTCTCCGTCTCATCGTGGAGTCGGGCCGTGATTTGTTCGACGGCCGCCCTCCCGCGGGCGCGGTAGCGCGCCTCGGCCTTGATGTAAAACACGGGCATCTGTTGCTTGAGCGGGTCGACGTCGATATGGAACACGCGCGCGTCGTCTCGCGGCCGACACAGCGTGTTGACCCAAGGCACGTCGCAGTCGATGACAAGAATGACGTCGGCCGACTTGATGGCGTCGTCGGCGCCGAAGCGCAGGCCCAGCCACGCAGGGTGGTCGGCGGGGAAACACATGTCGCTGCCGCCCGTGTCGAGCACGCGAAGGCCCTTGACCGTATCGGCCAGCTCGACCAGCGCGCGCGGCATTCGGTGGTCGCGGCCGCCATACCCAGTAACGACGAGGGGCTGCCGGGCCCCGGCCAGGGCGTCGGCGATCTTGGCCACGGCGTCGGCGGACATGCTCCCCAGCTCGACGGGGTCCCACTCGGCCTGGTTGATCTGGTACGGCTCGATCTCGGCCTCCATGACCTCGCGCGCGCCGCAGAGGTAGACGGGCCCCTGCGGGTCGGACTTGGCGAACTGCAGCGCGCGGTTGACCATCTGTTTGACGTTGGCGCCCGTCTTGAGCTCGCCGGAGTAGCGGCAGTACTGCGATACGATGTCGGACTGGCGGTGCACGTCTTGGACCCAGTGGATGTACTCGGTGCGGCTGCCGCGCATCTCCCCCTCGATGGTGAAGGGCGAGAGGCCGGCGAAGACGAAGACGGGGGCTCGGCCTGTCGAGCTGTTGTGCACGGCGGCGCCGAGACCCTGCGTGCCTACGTCCACGTGGACGATGACGCATTGCGGCTTGCCTGTGAGGCGAGCGTAGCCGTCTGCCATGGACATGGCCACCATCTGAAGGGGGGGTGGGGGGAAGCGTGTGAGCCTAAACCTAACCGAAGTGGATGCACAGTATCGGGGGGCGGGTAAAAGCATGTCAGATCAGAGTAAAGCTCACCTCGTTGGGGCAAGTGATGATGCGTGGGAAGCGACCTTTGGCCTCACGTTGCCCCTTCACCATGGCCTCGATGATGCTGGGATGGTCGGAACCCAGGTTGACGAAACAGTGCGAGACCCCGGCATCCCAGAGCGCCTCGAAGAAGGCAAACGATGCTGTGTACATGTTCTCTGACGGCGGACTGGCCGTAGCGTAACCTCTGCTGCGGTGGAGTGCGGTGACTTTGGACGAAGCCTGTCTACCCGTATTTCTCTCCACAATGGCGGTCCGCGGGTTGGTGTCGTTAGCAGGACCGACTGCGACCACCGATGACTGCTGGCGTCCTTTGTTCCGTGAGCCTGACTGTAGGTATGCAGGTGATGCGGACCAGAACCGAGCTCGGGGGGCAATGACTGGTGTTAAGCGGCGTAAGGTTGCATTGGTCGGAAGTCGAATAGCCCGGAGTAGCATAGCTAGATGGTTCGGCGAGGATGCGTCGGTGGTGCCCGTTCGAGAGTAGAGTCGTGACAGCCTCAAGGAGAGTGAGAAAGTCAGTTCGTCTCTCGGTCTCGGTGAAGCGTCGGTGTATGTCAGGGGTCAAGGCTGTGATTCGTCGAGGTAGTCCCGGGGAAATCCGGTGTTTATACGTGGGTTTGGTAGGTTTGGTAGGTGTATGGAGTAGGAAATGACAAAGTGAGGTGACACAGGTCAAAAATGGGCGGCATTGCAACTTATACGGCCGGCTTACGGTGGTACCAGGACTGAGTTGCATGCACTACTGACACACCATCTGCCTAACGCGGAAGTCATATCAACGAAGCAGAGGCCAGTTGACCAGTCGAAACATGCAAGAGGTTAGTAATAGCTAGACTTGGACGGTACTTCTGCGTACCGACGGTTCATATCGGCCATTATCTGAGCCCCTTACTCCGCATTACGATCCCGTGGAGACGAAACCTCCAACTCTCACTGGAAGATAGCAGACCATTAGTGGCAGGTCTTCCAACCGGTACCTGTCTTACCCCGCTATATCTACAACGTACTCCGTAAGGAAGGGTCGACCGGCCGGCCCATTGAACTGCCTGGACAAGACGCTTGAGCGCTTGAACGCGGCTTGGCCCTGGATTTTTGGGGTAAGTGAGGCAGTCGGACTTTGTACCCTCCTCTCCAGTCTCGTACATAGGTACCGAAGCTACCTATTCACCCGAACCCGAACCTGATATCAATTTGATTCTCAATATGCAGCGTAGCGTAAAGCTGCAGTCCCCACACTCTTCAGAGATATCCTCATGTCCGTTCTCCTGAATAGGTAAAGTGTAGTAGACCTTGAAGAATTCAAGATCGATGTCAGGTCTTATCTGCCTGTCTCCACCGATACCTTACCCAGCTTCCGCCGTACGTTTTTAGGCCGAGAATTGCCGCCAAGTCACTCGACATGGCACTTGCGGTGAGCACCGCATCCAACACGGAATCAGTTCCAGGTCAACGTGTCCGAGTTAGAGGTACGGTGTAAGACTCCGCACATACTGTACTTCGTACATGTAGTACATTCCGTTACATCATAACAAAGGATGGGTGTCACGAGACAGCGTGCGGGGTGCAAAATAGGAATTACAATTACAATTACCTAGTACTTAGCTCACGAGAACCCATTTCCAGGTTAGACTGTGCGTGTCGTCAGAATATATCCGTCAAAATACATCGCGATGGTCTTTAAGGTATTCAATCCCGGATCGATAATTACTCCGCACCCTGTTTCCAGTCCTCCATTCACGTCCATCCACCCCCAAGCCTAGCAGCAGTATCATTTCATGTATAGATTCGAGAGTCTCCTGAGGTCTATCCCTGGACGACAGTCCCCATTATGCAGATATAATACAAACGCTATGATACCCTCTTGTACCGTCGTCATGCCAATGCCCCCCGGACAGTCGGCCTGGAAAGAGTCCCGTTGTCTTCGAGCTAGGAAGTCTTCATTTCGCGCTGCATAGCGGCCACGGGAGTGTAAAGCCCCATCAAGCCACCCTGGTGCGCAGCTGGAGTCCATGCCACTCCTTGACACGGTCGCCCAGCACGGCGTTGACCATGCGCTGCTGCTTGAGCATCGTCAAGCCGGCGAACCGGGGCGACGCGATGTCGATGGCGTACATGCTGCCGCACCCTCCCGAGACGTCGCGCACGTCGAGCTCCACGGGCGCAAACTCCGCTGCCAGCTTGTCCCAGATCCAGGACTCGGCGCTGTCCAGGTGGTCTGGCTTTTCTACTGTCGGTGGGGCGGGGGAGGACGAAGAGGGAGACGGAGACTGAGACGCAGACGAGGATGAAGACTCGGTGGCCGATTGGGAGTATTGCCGGATAGTGCTCAGCCTGTCTAGTCGTGCAAGATTTCTCGGGAGAGCCGAAGGGACACTGGTAGACGCGGCGATTGAGGGGAGCGTCCGAGATGGGGCAGTCGCAGTAGAGAGTGCCCTTGACGAGGGACGGAGGAGGGCATTTGGTGTGGCAATCGGGGTGCGGTGCCCAGCCAGGGCGCGTTGGCAGACTCGGCAGATCATATTTGCGGGTTTGAATACAGCATGAGCAGAAGGTTAATGGAAGTGGAAGGTCGGGACTTTGAACGATGTTTTTAGGCGATGCGATCTTCTTGTCCCAGGTTCTGTCTGGACAGCAACACCGCTGACCAAGAAGAGCTTGGATGGAAATCTGCCGAGGTCTGACGGTCACATGACTATAGCTGAGATAAGACAGAAAGATTCCCGTATTTCATAATCGGAATGTACTTGCATATATCCGGCCTAACGGAACATCCATGCAATAAACAAGCTTATCTCGGAAACAGAGTGTCAGTGGTCCCACCCCCTTTTCCGTGATGCTGGGAACCGATTCCAAGTTGGGCCAATTCCACTCTAAGTGTACAAGATCGATTTGTCTCAATTACATGGAGATCAGCAACCTGTCTGTCAGAGACTTGTTTTGTTGCTGGAAGGCAGCTTACAGCTCACTGACCTAGGTCTTTTTCTTCTTCTTTTTTCTCCCTTTTTTCCCCCCTTCCCCTCGGGAGTAGCGCGTAAACCGCATTAAGACGCTCCTTAAATCATATCCTGCTAAACCCCCGATGCACTGCTGGACGCAGAGGTGATGTCTGGTAAGCAAAATACTACCTAATTCTGGCTCCCAGATTCATTTGCTCGTCTTTACTATTTATAGCGGTGATGACAAAGGCAATGGAGGTCATCAACCAGTAAGTTTATGGGGGCATGAGGTTTCACGATATCAATGTCCGAAAGTCCCCCGACTCTCACTCAGCCTACACAGCACTTTATTTATTCCCCTTCAATTACTCGGACCACGCAGCCTACATGGAACGAACCGTGCGTCGTAGGCGAGTTTCCAAAAGGACCGTTGACCTGATTCGGTCATTCGATCCGTCCTGCTCTCCAAACTGGTCGACAGCGCACAGCGCTTCCCCAGCCGCCGCTGCAGGGACAGGGGTCCGGTCCAGCCACGTTCACTGGGTTGCAGAACACCGCCTCGCCTCGCTGCGCCAGAAAACATCTCTATTTGTCTCTCTTTTTGGCAGTGCAGTCAACACCGCGCCAGGTCGCATATGTGATTATTTTCAACCTCACGATGACCACTAGCACGTGGATTATATGCATGCACGCAACATCCATGCTAACGGAATAGGAAATCGTATCGTCTCTCTGTTCCAAGACTCACACTGTTCCGCTTCTCATGGACAAGAAATCATGGGAACCCAACGCGGTGACCCTCCTGGTGGCTGGGGAGAAAAGAAAAGCCAACTTCAAGTTTCGTGAAAACAGCATGTCCAATCTTCCAGTCTGACTTGCAGCTTTTACGTCCACTCTTTTTCTTCATCGTCAGCATAAAATGCTCCAGGGAAATTGCAATGGGGCGTCGCTAGCGTTCCGTTTCCCCTGTGGGCAGCGAGTCAAACCGCAGCAAGCCAGGGGTGGACGACAGACTAACGACGAAAGCAGAGATGAAGCAATCCTTCTTGTCTGAAGAGACCCAGCCCTACAGGCTTCGAGCCCCATTGTCATATTTTCATGGCTTACCTGATCGTGTTGCTATTCTTGGGCGAGTGCCAAGCATCATCCAGCCAACCACGTCGAACGACAAACGTCTCGAGCCAGGATCCTCGTCCGAAATTCTGCAGTAGTGGTGCCCCTGACCTGGCCTGCATGGACCCCGACGGCTGGAAAGGAAATTTCACTCACTTGAAGCACCCTTCATGATCTTGATCTTGGTCTTCTATCCAGGGGGAACTCTCTCGCTTTGGTGCAAACAGCGGGCTTTACCAAGCAGCCCAGCATCATAGGTATCATCCCATGATACAGCGGAACTTTCTCACGGCAGCACAAAATCACCCCTTGCTCTGGTTAGGACTGGGCATGCAGAATACCGTGTCGTCCCTGGGTTTGAACTTTTGAAGGTCCCCATTCAGATAATTTGCATATCCACTGAATCTCACTTACCCCCTCCCAGCCATGGCCATGCTTCCTTCGGCCGCTTCTCATTCCCCTGTCCTGTCCTGTCCTGTCAATACACAGCCGGGCCCACGATGTTCCAATCCCATCGAGGCAGTGTACTACCAGGGACCCCCTGCTGACTGCCCGTTTCTCACTCGCGATGGTTTTCTTGGCCCTCTGACCCTATTTCTCTTGTGCATGAGCCTTAATACATATACACCGTCCTCGTCGCCTGTCAAGATGGGCTTCTTCCTGGCCTATCCAACTCACCCAATACCTCATCAACAGTAACCCCTTTTCCTACTTGTTGTTTCCTTTTTTTTTTCTTGTGATTCTCTTTTCATATTGATCTTTGTCTTTTTTCTTTTCCTTTCCCCTTTTCTTTTCCTCAGTCTCTAGCCTGTATTGTTTGGAAAATGGTTCGCGGCACTCTTCTCCTCTCCTTGTTCGCCGCGGCGACTTCGGCCGTCACGGCCAAGTCGGTGAAACGCCAGATCGAGAAGCGCGAACTCCATGCACGAACCATACCCGGAGCGTACATCATCGAGTTTCACGAGGACGCTGTAAGTCACTTATACAACCTCGGATGTGACGGGTGTTACCCCGGGGGAGGGGGGACGGTTTACCTTGCATGTATTGTGACCATATCCTGACAGAATCGGCCTACTCACAGGATCCTACCGAAGTCCACAAAGCATACGAAGAACACGCAGTGAAGCGGAGAGACCTCAACTACAAGCTTTTCAAGGGCACTTCCATCCACTTCCGAGACGTCGAAACCGCGGAGGAGAGGGCACTCGAGATCGGCAACCTGAATTCCGTCAAGCACATTTATCCCGTCGAGCACTATGAACGGCCGCACGACGAGGTGATTTGGAGGGGCAACCCGGGACGCGAGTATATGCAGAACAGAAGACGTGATGTCGACCCGGAGGACGAAGACGAGTTTGCCCCTCACCTGATGACCCAGGTCGACAGGCTCCGCGATGAGGGCTTCACGGGTGCGGGCCTGAAAGTTGCTGTCATCGACACTGGTGTGAGTCTCCGCTTGACTATAATCTATATCTACTCTGTCGATGTGACGCGGCCCTTGCTAACCAGTCTACTCTACAGATTGACTACACCCATCCCGCCCTTGGTGGATGCTTCGGCCGTGGCTGTCTCGTCAGCTACGGTATGGATTTTGTCCCGGAAAGCGTCGCTGATGTCGAGAATCCCGATAACGGACCCCTGGACTGCGACGGCCATGGCACCCACGTCGCCGGTACCATCGCTGCCCAGTCCAACCCTCTCGGTTTCGAGGGCGGCGCGCCCGGTGTTGAGCTGGGCGCTTACAAGGTGTTCGGCTGCTCCGGGGGCGCTTCGACGGACATCCTGATCGCTTCGTTCAACCAGGCCTACGAGGACGGCAGCGACATCATCTCCGCCTCCATCGGCGGTCCCAACGGCTGGACCAACGCCCCCTGGGCCTCAGCCGTGACGCGTATTATGGAGAAGGGTGTTGCCTGCCTTGTCGCCGCCGGCAACGAGGGCGAAACGGGCATCTTCTACGCTTCGTCGGGATCCAGCGCGGCTGGTGCCATGGCCGTCGGTTCGTTCGAGGTCACCGACATCCCCATCGTCTTGAACCAGGATACCTACACCCTGGACGGCAGCTCCCAGTCCGAGTTTGGTTGGCATGAAGGTCTCCCTCAGGCGTGGGCTGACGTCTCTCTGCCGCTCTATGCCCTCAGCTCCGATACGGAGATTCCCGACGATGCTTGCGATCCCCTCCCGGCCGACACGCCTGACCTCAGCCACTACATCGTCCTGATCCGCAGGGGCACTTGCGACTTCGCCGAAAAGGCCGCCAACGTTGCCGCTCACGGCGCCCAGTATGTCATGTTCTACAACAACGAAGCTGGTATCTCCGACGCCGATGCCAGTGAAGTCGAGGCAATCCAGGGTGCCGGTATGGTTACTGCTGAACAGGGTGAATTCTGGATCTCGGCACTGCATGAAGGTTCCGAGATTGTCCTCCACATGAGCGACCCTGCCCAGACCGACATGGTTCTGAGCTTCCACAACAACACGGCCGGCGGCTATGCCAGTGAATTCACCACCTGGGGTCCTACCTGGGATCTCAACGTCAAGCCCCAGTTCTCTGCTCCCGGCGGCAAGATCCTGTCAACGTACCCTCTCCATAAGGGAAGCTACTCTGTGATTAGCGGCACCTCCATGGCCACCCCTCTCGTTGCCGCCGCCGTCGCTCTCATCGCCGAGGCCCGCGGCACCCTGGACCCCGTGGAGATCATGAACCTCCTCGCCAGCACGGCCAAGCCTCAGCTTTTCCACGACAGCGTTGTCGCCTACGACTACCTGGCGCCCGTCGCCCAGCAGGGAAGCGGCATCATCCAAGCCTACGACGCCGCCTACGCCACCGTGCTCCTCAGCACCTCCAGCCTCGCCTTCAACGACTCGGATCACTTTGTGGCCCAGCAGTCTTTCAAGATCAGGAACACCGGCTCGCACGGCGTTACCTACCAGCTGTCCAACGTCCCCGCCTCCACGGCCTACACCTTCCTCTCCGGCGAGACCGTCCCGGATACCTTCCCCAACGAGATGGTCCAGAGTGGCGCCACTCTCCGCTTCGGCTGCGACCGCGTCGTCGTCCCCGCCGGCGAGGAAGTCGAGGTCACCGTGGAAGTAACGCCTCCCGCACAACTCGACGAGGCCCGTCTCCCCGTCTGGTCCGGCTTCATCCAACTCGCGGGCGACGACGGGTCCCACTTCAGCGTCGCCTACCAGGGCGTCAGCGGCAGCATCAAGTCCGTCCCCGTCCTCCAAGGCGCCCATAACGCCATCTACGTCAATGGAGAAGCCGACTACGCCAACGGCAACGAGACCTACGTCCTCCCCGAACCGCACCACGTCGACCCGGGCACCGACCGCCTCCCCGGCATCGCTATCGGGTTGTCCATGGGCAGCGAGCTGGTCCACGTCGACTTGGTCCCGCTGAGCCCCGTGGACCCGGACCTCGTGTACAACTTTTTCGGCCACGAGACCATTGGCGCGGCGTTCTTCTCGCCTCTCCTGTTCAACCCGCGCGCTACCATTCCGTCGTGGTGGGACGGTGAGCTTGACGACGACACGTTTGCGCCGGCGGGTCGCTACAAGTGGGCGGTCAGGGCGCTGCGCATCTTTGGCGACCCTTTGAACGCTGATGACTACGAGTATGCCGAGTCGGAGCCTTTTACTATCAGGTATACGGAGTCGCATGCTATTGAGAAGAAGAGCGTTAAGAAGTCGGGTGATAAGTTGGCGGAGCGGCTGGCTCGTCTGCAAAACATGTAATCTCAACTGGTTGTTTGGATGCATCGTGTGACGATATTGTCTGGGAGATAGACGATGATGTTGGGTGTGGAATAGAGGGCATGTTGATACCCGACACCGACACCAAGTTATTTCTGTACTTGTTTGGCTTTCTAGCATTGCGTGGCGTTTGTCTGTTTGTCATTGAGATACTCAAATTTGGAGAGTTATATAGATGGAAGAATAATGTCTCAAAACGTCGAGTCTGCCAGCGTTCACCTCCGTCTTCTTGGAACCACCTTTAACCCCCTTGTCTTCCTTTCTTTTTGCCATCCCTCTTCCGTCTCCCTGAGCTAAACCGACGCAGCAGGATATCCTATCAGCAACAACTGGAAGCATTGGTTGCAAACACTCTCGGCGCCATTCGCGGCCTCGTGGCGGAGATGCATGGCCGTATGTATATACGGGTGGTGTCAAGTTGGACTCGCAAGAGACAACATAACTCAAGAGCGGGCTGGGAATAAAGAAGTAAGAACAGTGACGATGATGCTGGTGGCCGAAGTACAGCCAAACAACCCACGAGATGGCTTCGGGGCTGTTACGTATCTGGCATAGAGCTCCGCGACACTCCAGTCTCCCCGCCTGCCAAAACCCCAGTGCCCTTATTCTCCGCCTTTCTCCGCCCTGTCCTACGCTATACCGTTACACCCGGCCACTTGGCACCGGCCTGCGCGTTGAATGGACATGTAATTTACCTCATGAGAAGCAGTGGTGTGTAATGTCCGTACTGCAGCCGACCCATTTTCCGTCTGTCTTTCTTGTTTCGTGTCCGAGGCCGCTGCCTCTCATCGGCCCGTCACCTTGGAGCTTCATGATCCGTGAAAGAAGGACCGAGAACTGAGAGAATGTGCCGTGATTTTCAAAGATCGAAGATGACGCGCTCCAGTATAAGTGGCCCGGCCATATATATGGCTTTACCTTGGTCTAACGTGGTAGGAGAATCCATTCGGTCCGGGACAGACTGGGACATGGATTTGGCCGAGTGATTCCGTCTTGAAGGGCGCTCCCTCTCGAAACGGTAATCCAGTAACCTCAGCTTCATATGGTAATTATTAGGAAGACAAAATAGGGAGAAGACTGAAATAAACGCCCGAGAAACAACGTATATAAGTCTTATGACTTCTTTCATTTCTCTCCACAGAACTTGATTCTTGTCTTAGTGCCCTCGTAAACAAAACCTCTTATTGTGCACCTCTTTGTTCAAAAGGTTTCCGACAACATCTTACAAAACATGAAAGCAAATCACATTCTTGCTGCCATTAGCTTGGCCAGCATGGTTAATGCCCATGGATACCTCACCGTCCCCAAGAGTCGTACTCGACTGGGCACCGAGGTAAAAACCACCCTGCGTCCCCTCACAAGCAGACCACAGTCCGACCACTGACACCAAAACTCTACACGCAATAGGTCGGCATAGACACTTGCCCCGAGTGCACCATCCGCGAACCCGTAAACGCATGGCCAGACGTCGAAGAAGCAACCGTCGGCAGAAGCGGGCCATGCGGCTTCAACGCCCGCGTCGGCGTCGACTACAACGTCCCATCAACCCACTGGGGCAACGAACCGGTAGCCACCTACAAGCCAGGCGACGTCGTCGACGTGCAATGGTGCGTCGACCACAACGGCGACCACGGCGGCATGTTCAGCTACCGCATCTGCCAGGACCAGGACCTGGTCAACAAGCTCCTGACCCCCGGGTACACCCCCACCGAGGCCGAGAAGCAAGCCGCTGAAGACTGCTTCCAGGACGGCATCCTCCCCTGCAGCGACGTCCCCGGCCAGACCTGCGAGTTCAGCCCCGACTGCTCCCCCGGGCAGCCGTGCTGGCGGAACGACTGGTTCACCTGCAACGCTTTCGGCGCGGACCACCGTCGCGCGTGCCAGGGGGTCGACAACGCGCCTGTCGGGTCGTGTTATACGTCCATCGCGGGGGGGTTCCCCGTCACCACGAGGGTCCGGATTCCCGATTACGTCTCGAATCACACCCTGCTCTCGTTCCGGTGGAACTCGTGGCAGACCGCCCAGGTCTACCTCACTTGTGCGGATATTGCCATCCTCCCCGACGGCGGATCAGCCGCACCGCCCCCGGACCCTGGCGCTCCTTGCACTTCTATGCCGGTCACTTTTGACCAAGTGGTGACGACTGCTCCGGGCCAGACGGTCAAGATTGTCGGATCGATCCCTCGCTTGGGTAGCTGGAATCCGGCGTCGGCCCCGTCTCTCTCGGCGGCCAGATATACTTCGACGGACCATCTGTGGACTACCACGCTCGAACTGCCGGCTGGTCAAGCTTTCCAGTACAAGTTTGTGATTGTGGGGTCTGACGGAGCCGTCCGGTGGGAGAGTGATCCCAACCGGTCTTATACGGTGCCTACCACGTGCCAGAGCGGTGGCGTTACCGTTGGCGGTACTTGGCGCCGTTAGAGGGGATTTGGTTGTGAGAACGGGTTATTATGCTATGTTTGTAAGATGCAGTGCCGTATTGTCATCAATGGTAGTGCTTCTGTTTAGGGTACCATCCTATATGTCCGCAGTATCGTCAACAATTGTCTATGATTACTGCATGCAAGAACGGGGCAAATACCCATGAGTTCCAGAACCACGTGGTGCTTCACCGATTCGGCCCCACTATCGGGACCGGGCACCGGGGTCCAACATCCCGGTTATTTGGGCTTAAATAGGCAACCCATTAGAACCCAGCCCAGTAAGACCCAGCCCAGTAGAACCCAGCCCGTATGGGCCCGGACCTAAACTGGTAGGCCTAAACAAGCTAAATGTAACCCTTTTGGGCATGATTGGGAGTGGTTGACAGTCAAGTTCACCCTACTGTGAGAGCACTAGTGGACAGACAATTCGACTTATAAAGATGGCAAGAAGGCCCCGAGTACAAAATGTCTGCCTCTTCATCGTCCTTAAACTGCCACTTGAGGTCTGGGTACCCAGGTGAAGAGGTTTCTATTGATCCTTGAAGGAAGGGGGCGTCCGTGCTCTGATTCAGAATACGCCACAATGCGGCGTGATCGCAACATGAAATGCCTGCCAGCATCCGTATAGAGGCCTCTTTGGCGATTTCCCTGGCCTTTCACGAGCAAGAATGCCAAAGCATGGACGAGATGGACGTGGACTTGGGTCGCAAGGTCTAGTTACTTGCCGCGCATTGTGACCCAGATCGGAACACCAGTGAGACGGCGGTGCTTCGATGCCAGTTCTCATGAAATCGGAAGACTTACAATATACTTAATAGGAAATAGGGTTGATCCTCCATATTTCTCCACGGGTTCACACCGCCTTGGTGTAGTTGGCTCCATAGAGTTGAGATAGGTAGGAGGGGTGTCTGCGGTCCGTCGGCCTCGAATAGGACCCGATACTCTTGGAACTTCGCGGGGATATCAGACTTGAAAGTCACTTGTATGAAAACCAGCATCTGAGTGCTTTCAAAGTTCATATGCCCCTGTCACTTGCATGGACAAGGAATTCTCCCCACGCGGGAGGGGAGTCGTCGAATAACCGGCCGCGGATCACCAACGCCTCTTGACGTACAACTACGGGTACTGGCTGATTAGCAAGACCGCGCGGGAGGCGGCGGACGTGCCTCGGTTGACGAGCTATATTCGGTCGTTGGAGACTGCGGGGCAGACCATCTCGTCGGGGATCAGTTCGACGAAGACGCCGGTTCGTTTTCCTCTCCCCCCTTTTTTTTCTTTTTTTCTTTTCCGTGTCTGCCTTTGTGACTGCCGCGGTAATGTCAAGGGGTCGCCGCGCCGAGCTATTCCGCCTGCTATTCCGAATATTGCGCCTTCAAGGAGGTTGCGAGACATCAGAGTAGAGAAGTGGTGGTGTGAAGCGTCGGGTGAGTTGATGTGCTGGCGGGTACGCATGACTATACCCGTAGCCATGAATCTGCGACCGTACGCATCAGAGCCTCGAGAGCTTCTCAATGAGAATCCAGAGATGGGAGAAAGGCAGAGACCAAAGGAAGAATCCATCTATGGAGACAAAGCAGCTACAATGTCTGGCGGCGACGGACCTGCGGATTTGATGCGAACAGAGCGACCCCTTATATTATATTGGTGCATGTGAATAATTCTGATATTCCGATTCCTGTAGATCGGACTGCGACCTGTTTTGACGTGTCTATAATGCGCTCGACCAGACGAATCCCCCCAATGCGACGCGGAAATAGTATAGATGACGCCGATAAGCTCTGAACTCGGAAAGAAGGAAATCGAAATCGCACACCAACGGAAGAAATAACGACGAAGGAATCTCAAACGTCGTCAAACAGCGGCGCTCTCGATCTACCCCTTGGACCCGTCCCGTCCGGCCGAGCTCTCTGATGTGGGGAGAGAATTCTTCTTCTCCTCGGCCTCCAGAATCTTGGCCCGCGCATAGACGATGCCGCTGATGAAACCGATGGTAATGGCCGACACACTGCCCGTCGTCACAGGGGCCGAAAAGAAGATGAGACCGCTGACGGCAATGGGAAGCTTGTTCAGAGCGCCGACCATGGAATAGGTGGTGGACGAGGTAACGCGGATGCACCAGGCGGAGCAGTAGGAGATGAAGATGGCGGCGAGGCCGGAGTAGATGACGCCGACGATGATGCGGTTGCGGTATTCTTCGGGGAAGTTCTTGGCGAAGTTGGCGCCGGACCAGTCTTCGGTCAGGACGGAGCACAGGAGGAGGACGGGGATGGTGAGGAGGTTGTTGTAGAACATGGCTAAAGATAAGATTGGTCAGAGAACGGGCCACGAGTTGCAAAGAACGTAGACGAGGGGAGGAGAGGAAAACATACTATCCCAGTCCTTAAAGTTCATCTTCTTAATCACCTTACGCATGCTGAGAACATACGAAGCGGTGCAGATGACGTTCAGGGCCATCCAAAAGTAACCGGCGTTCAGGGTCGAGAGGGCATCGTCACCAGACCCCATTTTGCCAGAGACGGCGGCTTGGATGTCGGCCCAAGCGGCGACGACGGAGCTCAAAACCATGAGCATGAAGGAGAGGAGGGCCATGCGAGTGACGCTGCCGCCGAACCAGAGGACTTCGCCATAGGCGATGGCGATGATGGTGAGGTTCTTGAAGATGGTGTATACTGGCACGGAGAGAAATTGGAGGGCCTTGATGCTCGTGTAGATCATGCCGACGAGGAGGAACGAGACGGGGAACCCTGTTGGCAGGCATATGTTAGCCAGCCGACGCAAGGTGTGGCAGTGACGAGCAAATTGGTCGTTCGGACAACCGGTGGGGATCACATACACCTCTTCCCCTTTTCCGGATCAAAGGGCGCCAAGTTCTTGATCATGCCGAGTCGTTTACATATAAGGATGGCTCCGATACAAACGATCGACTAAAGACACGGAACAGCGTCAGAAATAGGCCAAGACAGAAAGAAAAAAGGGTGTGTATCGTAGAGTGGCAACGTACCTGAACGGCGAGATAGAAGAACGTGAGGTTCCAGAAATCGCCCGACACGACATACTTGTTGACAACAGTCATGCTGATGGACGAGGCGCAGTACGCCAGAATAGAGATGGTACCACTTTCGTCGACCTTGTGCAGGGACTGTGACAAGCCGGCAGGGAAAACGGCAGCGACGGCAGGGCGAGACTGGCTCATGAGGCCATCGTCTTCCTTGTCCTCGAAGGACATCCTCTCAACGTACGGCGACGAGTCGTCCTCCTTTTTCCTCAAGTGGCCGGCCATGATGTGTATTATGTTGTATTAGATGATGCACGCGATCGAGAGCGAGCGAGCGAGCGAGCGAGCGAGAGGAATGTCCGAAAAGCAGAGGGGGGAAAGAGCGGATGGACGACGTATGGTCGTGCCGAAAGTTGAGTCGATGGATGCTGTGCTGCGCTGGGGTAATCTGTGGCTATCGATTACGATCAAGGCGGGTTATGTCGGAGGAAGAAAAGACGAGATGCCGTTGACGTCGTCGTCGCTGTCGTTTGTTGTCGACGTCGTCGTCGTGGTCGTCGTCTTGGTCGTCGTTGTCGTGATCGTCAGAGAGAGAGAGGGAGAAAGTTGGTTTGGTCTGGGCAAGGTTTATTGCCGTGCCAGGGATGATGCTGCTACGTCGCGTAGGTAAGGCAAGCAAATGCCCTGTGCATACACGTAAGCTTGGAAGCACGACCACGGAGAACGTATCGATACCTTATGGTCTGGGTGTGTGGATGGAATGCGGTGTCCACTTTCACCAAGTACCGGTACTTACAAAACCATGACTCTTGGATTGGCCCTGGAGCTTTGATTAAGATGATTAAGAGTGGGTAGGTCCTCCGTACTGTGCCCCTGAGTCTTGCTTCTATGGTTCCTGGCTAAGAAGGTACGAAGCAGGGAATACCGTTTAGAACAACAGAATACGTTGTCACCTTGATAAGGACCGGAGGTACCTAGGTAATTACCGGGTATACCTCCCTATCTCCGGTATCCACTCCTCGCTAAACCGGAAACAACATAATCCGAACAAGCACAATAGGGGCACACTGGAGCCAGCGATCCTTGCCAAGAGGGAACCTTCCACCCCCCCTGGTGGACGCGTGGTGGTGGGTACGTTGAACGCCCATTCGTAGCCTGCCTAGCCCCAGGAATCCTTTCAGCCATTTGCCTGACCCCCCTATCTCCCTTGGCGAAATGGAATAGGCAAAAACGATATGCTCAACACTCCGGAACACAGCACAACCTGACGACGACTTGGACCATCTCGTGATCAGGTTTTCCCGTCATGCTGCTCCTCAACCGCTTCGGTCGCGTCACGCTGGTCGTGATCGCGCTTCTCATCGCCTTCGCCATCGTCCTGGTGGCCCAAGGAAGCGCCATCGCCTCTTCCCTACCGAGCACGCTCGAATCATTATGGCCGGGGTCGAGTACCACGACAAGACCACCTCCGACGGAGAACGCGAACACAGCACCGAATACTGATGCCGATGCCGATGCCGATGCCGATGCCGGTGCCGGCGCTGGCGCTGGCGCTGGTGCGGAAGATGACGACGATATTGACACGGAGAGGAAGGATATTTCCTATGACCTGACCATCCCTGTCTCTACCGGGTGCGAGAACCTGGTCAACGACCTACAGCAGCGCCTCATCCATGCCTACTCGGAGCGTCTCAGAGGCGTTCGGTACGCCAATATCTGGGGATACCTGGAGACGGAGAACAAGGGCGATGCGGCGATTTGGTCGGCTCAGCAGATTCTCTTGACCATGCTAGGCATTGAGACTATGGAGGCCTGTCGGTATGTTTTGACTCTGGTCCCTGTTTCCCGTTTTGCCGCCATTCGATAGACCTATGGACACGGCAGTGGACTGACCTGTTCCCCCCAATCTGCAGTTTCATGGACAAAGACTGCGACATCAAGAAATTCCGCGCCCGCCTCGAGGCACACAAACCCCACTCCGCCATCATCATGGCGGGCGGCGGCAACTTCAACGACTACTACTGGGAGGACCAACCGTCCCGCATGAAGATGATTTCCAACTTCACGGACGTTCCCGTCCGGGCCTTCCCCCAGAGCGTTTACATGACCAACCCGGAACGCATCGAGGCGACGAAGAAGGCGTTTACGAAGCACAAGGACTTGCAGCTGGCGGCGCGTGACCGTCCCAGCTACGAGTGGCTGGACGAGGCTTTCGGGGAGGTGGAGGGCATCGAGGCGGATCTTGTGCCGGATATCGCTTTTATGTGGGGGAACCGATCCGATTTTCGGGTTAATACGAAGAAGACGTAAGTTTTTTTCTTCTCTCTTCCTTGCAAGTCTCCTGGAAAAGGGCAGCTACCAAGATCACCCTGCTAACTCGGCTCTCTACATGTAGCCACGACATCCTCATCCTCGCGCGCAAGGACAAGGAAATCTCTTCCGGCGACTCCTCCGACATCGAATTCGGCGAGGGCGAACTGGACCTGGGCGGCAGCGTCGGCAAAGTGACGTACGAGAAGATCGACTGGAAGTTCACCGAGACGCCGGGCATCGACGGCGAGAAGAAGGAGAAGGGCAAGAACCAGCGCGCCTGGGCCAAGTCGGTCACGGGCTTCGAGCACCTCGGGTCGGCGCGTTTCGTCATCACCGACCGGCTGCACGGCCACATCATGTCGACCCTCATCGGCGCGCCGCACGTGCTGATGGACAGCAAGCTGGGCAAGAACCTTAACTTCCATAACACCTGGACGCGCGACTGCGAGTGCACCCGTATTGCTTCCAATATTTCCGAGGCGCTCGATGTGGCAAGGCTCTGGTTTGAGCAGCCGGAGAACCAGGACTGATTCACAAGACGGGGATGGTAGTAGATACAGTGGCGGATTGCATTGTTTTCAGGGACGATCTCGTCCCCAACCTGGGAGACTTCGGAGGGGTTCGCTATTTGGGAATGATTCACATGGGGCGCGTACTGGAAAATGGATCGGAGAGAAACAGAATCGGTAATTGGTCGTCCCGTGTGATTTTTTCTTCTTCCTTTTTTCTTTTCTTTCTCTTCTCCTTTACTCTTCTTTTTCCCTTCTTTCGTATTCGTTGCCATTTTCACCTCCGTCATTTTGCTTTGCGCCATATATGTATACAATAGGTCAGAGAGGGATTTGAATATCAGGATCAGCCAAATAAAATAACGTTGCATGCAAATCGAGATCACCGTGGTGTCTCTCGTCCACTATACTCATATTCTAGTCTGATGCTCGGTAGTTTAGGCTCGATGGTTGATGATTGTCAAGTCGTCGGTTCAGGTATTGCTCGACATTTCGAGGCTAGGGGAAATGTCAACGTGGAGGAATTTAAAGGTCTTACGGCGGTTGCGACGGTTGCGACGGTTGCGACGGTTGCGACGGTGGCCACTTTTTTGTTTTAAGGATATTACTGAGAGTAGTGTATCCGCACACTACGCACTGTATCCGTAATCTACATATGCTCACCCCTCTCGACAGACGGAGGGGCACAGTTTCCATAACAATCTCGCAACAGTCCTGCAGGGACCGGGTCACGACCCTTGGTGCACAGGTACTGTATCTGTACTGATAGGGAATACGGAGTACACGAATACCGAATACCCGCATGCGTCGACCTTGTAACTCGACAAACAAAACGGTACCCGGTGTCAGCCACCCCATTGAACCGTATGTGTACACGTGTACAACTGTACCGTCAACCACATGGCTAGAACGGACAAGCGCCGTTAAGCGTGCCTTTGGGTCGCCCACTAATAAGCACCCTATCCATACTTTTCATTAAGGTACAGTACAGTACGGGGAAATATGGAGATCGGGAAAGGAGACGACGGGAGGAAGAACCTATCAGGAGAGAAGGAAGGAGAACAAGCACGCGCTACGGAGGATGGATACAACATAACTCATGCCAAATCAAGATTCTGCAGATTCAGATCCCCCTTTTCCCCTGGCCTACCTTACCTAGGATGGTCCCATACCGTGTCCAGACATGGACAAGGAAAAACGAGAGTGTAAAGGTCGCAGCTCGTTTTGCTTACCCGAATAATCTCGACACAGCCTACCTTGGAGGACGTGGCTTAGGGAGGACGTGGCCTAGGTAGATGCCGGCTCCCCTTGCTTTCGATGCATGTCCATTGTTCCATGTCGAGACTTTGTCCCTCTCCTTCCTCTCTCTTCCCTCACACTCCTTTTGCCTTGCTTGTTTCCTTTCCCTGACTTGCTTGCCTACGAGTGTGGCCTCTTTTTCTCTTTCTTTTTTGATGGTTTCCCATGTTATCTTCTCGCCATATACAACAAGTCGAATCACCTGGAATCTGTCTCCTAATTGCTGGCCTTCGAGGAGATGATGGTGCCATTTTTTGCTTCCACCCCCTGAAGATCCTTATTTCCGCCTTTGCAGAAACAGAAGTACCCCAAGCCAAGCAAGCCAAGGAATCCAGAGTTCCAAGGGTTCAAAAGTAAGGGACAACAACGACAAAAAAAAAAAAAAAAAGGAAGAAAAGAAAGAATAGAGAGAGACACACAGGACACAGACAACACCACAATGGCGGCTCTGGCTCTGCCAAAGCGGATCTATTCGCTTGTCCTCCTTCTTCTCATCGTCGCCATCGCCATCTTCTCCCTCAGCGACGATGCCTGGAACGCCGTCCCCCGGCCACCACCAGGATGGCGCATGCCCTTCACCACAGACACCGGCATCCTCGCCAACTGGTGGGGTAGCACAGGCCGCCCCTTACGCATCGCCGTCCTCGAAGCCGTGGGCACCCACGACGAGGTGACCGCCGCCCTCGTGCACGCCTTTGGCGGCCACGACAACGCCGAGCTGGTCCTCTACCTCAAGAACCAGCGCTACAACATGGACGCCATCATCAACGGCTTCCGCCTCCATTCCCCCATCGTCGCCGTCGAGTCGTCCGACATCTTCCTCGACCGCATGCAGGCCGGCCCCCGTCCGGACATCCTCGTCTCGACCACCTGCGAGATCGACGCCGACCGGAAACCCAACGCGTTCCGCTACCTCCTCGCCCAGGGGACCACCCACCTCTTCTGCGTCGTGCACCACGCCGACCGCTGGGGGAAGGGCCGCCACGTCCACGTGGCGCGCGAGTTCCTCGACAAGGACATGATCGACTTCATCGGCCTCAGCCAACACACCGTCGACTTCTTCGTCAACACCACCGTGCCCAAGTGGGAGAACCCGCCGACTTCGGTCCGCATGCACGCCTTCCCCCCCGTTTTCCCCGTCGACGTCCCCGACCTCGATCCCGACGCCGGGCCCTCCCTCGCGATGCAGGGCGATTACTCGGCCGGACGCCGCGACTACGAGAACATCTTTCGCCAGCTGAGCAACGTCATCGACCGCACCAGGGAGCTGTCGGCCACGACGCACGACAACGACACGGTGTCGCTCCGGCTCCTCGGCCACGGGAAACACCCGCAAGTCCCCGAGACGGTGCGCGACCGCGTCTTCTTCGACGAGGGGCTGTCGTACCCGGATTTCTACGCGTTGCTGGCCCAGTCGTTCTCCGTCGTCCCTGCTTTCGCGTCCGATACCTACCTGGACCGGAAGGCGTCGTCTACGGTCCCTGCCTCGCTTATTGCCGGGGCGCCGCTTGTGGCGAGTGAGGAGCTGCTTGCTGCCTACTCGTACTTGCCCCGGGAGGCGGCCTGGGTGGCTGAACCGGGCGAGGGCGAGATGGACGTTATTGAACGGGTTATTGGGGAGAAGGACGAGTTTTGGAAGAAGAGGAAACATGTGCGCGAGGCCAGGGAGAATATCATGAAGGAGAACAGGGTTCATGTGAGGGAATGGATGGAGAGTGCTTTGGCGTTGCATCCTCATGATGATGAGGACGTGGAGGAAAATGCGGAAGAACAGTAAACAACGTCTGTCGGTGGGTAACGGGCGAGGAGCATTATTACACTTGATGGAAATGACGGGCATGGCACGCTGTATATTTTTCTTTCTGTATCCATACGGGGCGCATGTCCTGGGGCGGCTCACGTACATTTTCTCTTTTTTTATATTTCTTCTTTCTTTTTCTTCTTTTTCTTCTTTTTCTTCGTCTTTGTTATTTTTTTCCTTTTCTTCTTTTTATTCGCCGTCTTCTTCATTTTTTCTTCTCTATATTATTCCTTCGATGTTTAGACATTGGCATCAGAGCGGACTGTCGGTTTGGATACGAACTTTTTGGGTGTTTTTGTTTGGATAGACAGACAGACACAACGAAGATGAATCTTTTTTTTTTTTTTTTTTTTTTTTAAACCCCCCCCCCCCCATTCCTCGTCACGCAAACAGTAAACCCTCGTCAATCGTAACACTGCACCGCATATCGGCTGTCACTGTCGATACCCGGCCGGCTTGGCGATGGAAGGTCATGACAGGTCTTATATCACGTGTGGAAAAAAGTACTTCAAACAAATCAACACGCTGTATTACATGATAGTACGTCTATCCAGAAAGATATCAACATGTCTTGTCTATGCAGAGTGCCCATGTCAACAATCCAAGCGCCAACCCGAGACCATAAGAGAACTACATAACAAGGACATCCATCTTGCTCCCGCGGCGGCCGTCCGTACAATGAATGGTATGGTATGGTGGGCCATCAAAGGAACTCCGTTCATAATCAGTTTAACCTGCTCTACCCCTACCGGGACTCCTTGTTCTCGGAATCGTCCTTTGGCTCGGTGTTGGTCAGAGGGAGGTAATTCCCCTTGGGCGACTGCTTGCTCTGCGCATGACGGTCCTTGGCCCAGCCGTAAAGTGCACTGCCACCCAGAATGAGGGCCATGCTACCGACACGGTCGGTGGTGAGCACCTCACCAAGGACGACGATAGCAAGGGAACTCTGCGCGACGCCACGGGCAGCGGTAACAATCATATGGGTCGTCGGGCTGGTCACCTCGATCTGCATAAACGTAGCAATGGTAAGGAGGAAAGCCGACACGCCGGTAAGCATAGCCGTGGCGAGGAACTGTCGCCCGCCGGCCTCCTGGGAGCGTCCCAGGAAGATATCAGCGGTGGTGGCCAGCTCGCCCGACAGCGGCAGCAGCGGGAGGTAGAACAGCACGGCCATGCAGTTGGACATCCAGACCATCTGCCACATGCCCTCGCCGCTCTTTCCGAGAAAACGCTTCACGACGACCGACTCGACGGCGGTGGTGAAGCTGGAGCCCACGCCCAGCAGGACGCCCTTCCCGCTGGTCAGCATCTGGGTGTAGTCGGCGGCCATGCCGGCGCCGAAGCCGCCCATGACCATGGCGCAGCCGGCGAGCGAGAGGGGCGGGTAGTAGGGCCGCGGCTTGAGGACGAGGAGGGAGAGGAGGAGGGTGATGGGGAGGAGGAGGCCGCGGGCGATTTGGTAGACGGAGGCGTTGACGGAGGCGAGGCAGTAGGTTTTGGCGAGGATACCGACGAGGCGGGCGATGGTGAGGGGGAGGAGGGACCACCAGGCCTGCGAGCAACGAGCGTCAGCGAGTTGTTGCACTTGTTGCGAAAGGCCAAGGGATAAGGGATAGGGAGAGGGATAGGAAAAGGCAAAAGCAAAAGCAAAAGCAAAAGGGAAAGGGACTCATACCGATGCCGGGCGGGACAGCTTAATCCATCCGGTAAAGGTCCCTATGGTAGTGAGGAGGATGACCTGGATGGTAGTTTGGAGGGCGAGAAGGGTGACGGGGGCGTCAACGCCATTGAGAGCCGACTTGGAGAGGATGGTGCTCCAGATGGCGCATGCGGAGTGGAAAAGCACGGTCAGGGTAACTTTGAGGCGCGACGGAGGAGGCTTCTCGACGGGCGGGTGGTCCATAACGGCGGCAGCAGGTTGACGGGGTGGTTGTGGATGCGAGTCGATGCGGCGAGAAAAGAATAATACAACGAAATGAAAGGCTGGACGACGTAAAAAGAAGAAGAAGAAAAAAAAAATTAGGCGACGAAGTCCAAGGCAAACGGTAACGACAACGACGACAAAGTAAAACGAGTGTGGATAAGACGAATCAACCAAAGAGCTCTCGTCGATGGTACGTGATCGTGTTGGTGGAGTGGAAATGGTGGAAACGTGAAAGTCAGGGGCCCGTTGGAGAGAACTTTTGGCGGGCTGGTGGCTGGCGGCTGGCGGGCTGAGAGGCTGCGACCTCGTAGAGAGCGTTGGTGACGGTACGGAGGACGGCGTACCCAAGCTTCAAAACGGCCCGGGAAGGGGCTTGGCAGTAGAATGTATTGTATAAAGTATCCACTGGATTCCCACCTATATGAGTAAGCTTTTCGCCTCGCGTTATCAAGTCAATCTTCAATATGTACCGGTACTTGGGAAAAGTCAAGCCCCCTGCCGTTGTATTCCTGCAAACGCCGTAATGCGGTGTGTTCATTTCGGGTCCCCCTATCCCATGTTGCAATTAAGCCGATCCGCATTTACAGACCCACCACACGGGTGATGAGAAATTCTCTTATTGCCGGCACTGTGCAATTACGGAGTACTTTCAAGAGAGGGCAAGTTTCAGGTTTTTGATGATCGAGGTGATCCCTGGCCCTGAACCCACCGTTTTCCGGAAATGTGTCCGTACGGAGTACTTGGATACTTTGTAGGGTCAGAACCACAGTACGAGGCACTGGTCTCCCCACCCACCAACCGTTTTTCTCATTGCCTCATTCCGCCATGCCACTCTTGACAGATACGGCGGCGTCCATTCTTGATTCTCCCTTCGTCGATCAATTCTATTCTCAACCCTCGGTTTTTACTTCAACTACCGAATCACTGCAAATAATCGTCCCCCGACTCGTCCGCCATCACCTCGAACATGGGCTGCGCCTGAACCCACCCCATCCCCGGCGTTCCCCTGCTCTTATAGATCAACGCCGCATCTTCATCCTTGATCGTCGTAGTCGTCGCCTCACCGGGGACACCCAAAGCCATCAGCTCCGACTGACAACACCGCTCAAGCGCATACAACCAGTACGTAGCGGCCTCGACCGTCTGGCCGCACGCCAACAGCCCCTGGTTCTCCAGCAGCACCGCCTTTTTCCCCCCCAGCGCAGCCGCAATGTGTTCCCCCGGCCCTGCGCCCTTGGACGGCGGAGGTCGGTAGACGGCAACATCGTCCCTGAAAGCGCACGCCTCCCGCGTGAGCATCCTCAGCGGCCGTCCCAGCGCCGAAAACGTCCCGCCGTGCAAGCTATGCGCGTGCGCCACGCACTCGACGTCCGGCCGCGCCTCGTGCACGGCACGGTGCGCTGCGAATGCCGCGCCGTCGACCAGCCGGTTGGCGCCGCCGTCGCCGTCGACGACCTCCCCCTCCCTGTTGACCAGGATCAGGTCCGACCGGCGCATCAGCTGGAAGGGCCGCCCGAGCGGGTTGGTCCAGAAGTGGTCCCGCTGGATCGGGTCCCGGAGGGTGACGTGGCCTGTGAGTCCTTCGTCGAGGTTGTGTTTGGCGAAGAGGCGGAAGGCTAGTGCTAGGCGGCCTTTGAGATGGTCGCGCTCCTCTTGCTTGGTGGTGAAGACGGGTGGCGAGGGGATCGAGGGCTGTTGCGGTTGCTGTTGCGGTTGCTGTTGCGGTTGCTGCTGCTGTTTCGCTTCGCTGCCGCCGTGTGTTGACGAGTTCGTCGCCGCCAGTCGCTGTACTGTGCGTCTGGGCGGTGGAGGGGCGTTGCTGAGGAACATCACCCTCGTCGTTGTCGCTGTAGTGGTCGTGGTAGACATTGCGACTGACTGATAGGAGGGCGAACAAGCCAGGTTCGTGTGCGATGTGAGACCAGGTAGGGTAGCAGGTGCCAGATGAGTTGCAGGGTTCACTGAAAATCGTAGGAAACCAGGAGGCAGACGTATGAGTGCATGTGGAGATGCACCCGACTCTTGGTCTACGTTGGCTTCGAAGCTGGCGTAATAGGTAAGTACGTCGACGACTGACTGGTCTTGTTCGACCAAGCGTACGGATCAACCCCCTCTATAGTTGTCCAGGTCACTTCACCGCCATTCTCAACCGTCAATCAATTTGCAAAATATCTAACCGAGGCCTTGACAAATAACCCCATCGCGATACCTCCTCTCGAATTAGCGTGGTGTCAGTGTCACGAAAGTCACGAATCACAAGATCCCATCCTCTGTTGTGGAAGCGCTTTTCCGATGCCCCTGCAGGATCTATCATCTCACGGCCCGGCCACATCGCGGGGTTACGGGGTTACGGGGTAGGGTGCTGCTGCAAGTCTGGGCGTCGAAGCGAGGGTACGATATCCCACAAGTAGATGATCGGTTATCTGATTTGTGCAGTCTCTCGTCTCGGCTGCTGTCGTCCTCCCAAGTCATTCTCAATACATGGCCCATCCGCCACTCGCACTCAACACCTGCCCCGTAATCCACGAACTAGCCGGCGAAGCAAGCCAAGCCACAACCTCAGCAACCTCCTTCACGGTCCCCAGCCTCCTCTGCACGGGGGTATTCCGCTTCTGCCCCTCCACAATCTCCGGCGGTATATTCGCCAACATCTCACTCTGCACCGGCCCAGGGTTGACCTGATTCACCGTCGTGCCGTCCCCGCCCAGCTCGGCCGCCCAACACCGCGTCAGCCCTTCCAGCGCCGCCTTGGAGCTGCAGTAGAGCCCCAACCCCGCGAACCCGGCCCGCGACCCCACCGACCCGATGTTGATGATGCGGTTGCCCCCCTCGGGGTTGAGGCGCGGGAGCAGCGCCTGCGTGAGCCGGATCGGGGCGTGCACGTTGAGCGAGTAGACCTTGTCGTAGTCGGCGGGCGTTGTGTCGGCTAGGGGCTTGACGACTTCGACGCCGGCGTTGTTGACGAGGATGTCGACGTGGGACGAGGGGCCGAGCCAGGAGTCTAGCGCCGAAAGAATCCCGGCGGGGGCGTCTGCGCTGGTCAAGTCCACTTGGACGCGCGATGCCTCGGGTGGCGTTGGTAGGGCGGCAATTTCGCCGAGGACGGCTTCTGCTTTTGGTGTGCTGGATTCGGAGGTGTAGACCAGGAGGACCTGGACGGGCGAGTTAGTTGGCTTGGACTCGGGAAAGGACTCCGAGGAGAGACTCCTTTTTCCGTCCAACGTAAAACCCAGTGACGTACGGCTGCTCCTTGCCGGGCGAGTTCGAGGGCCATCCCGGCACCGAGGCCCCGAGACGCTCCCGTCACAATGGCTACCTTGCCTTGGAGGGTCGCCATTAAAAGGTTGGTGTTTGCTTGTGGGGATCTCTGGCTCGTAATTGCGTACGTAGTCTCACTGTCTTCAAGTTGGCGTTGAAGGGATACGACTGACTTCAATGTTCGCACTTGGACGGACCTCGTAACACGGGATGTCAGCCATCGTCGGAACCTCTCCCGCTCTTTTGACCCCTGTACTTCTTACAAACTTGAATACTGTCCCATGCCTTAACTACCGTAGACACGTGCATGCAGGCATCGAGTAATACGACGTCCACACCGTCCCCAGCCTGTTTCGGGCATGATCTCTCACATCTCCACAGTAAGTCCCGTCATTTCCCAACTCCGTCGGTGTTTAGTCCTATCGCCGACCAAGACGCCGATGACACACGCAACCGGCGATGTAGCATCTTTAAAAGTCCTTCGTCCGACAGCACATTTCGTGCACAATGGTATGGCAAGGAGGGATGATGGATTTCCACATGAGGATTTGTGGAATTGGTGAAAATACTGTCCAGCGAATTTGGTTCGTTTCGGGAAGACGCTCTCAACCCTCAGAAGCGTGAATGGTTTAGTGGTAAAATTCTCCGTTGCCATCGGGGAGCCCTGGGTTCGATTCCCAGTTCACGCAGGGTTTCGTTTTTCTTTTCTTCTACTTGGTCTATTTTTGCCTCGTTTTTCTTTTCGTTTTGGTCTTTCTTTTTGTCCTCTTTTTATTCCGTAACCTTGATTATCATGCCATCGTCACGGAAGATGGAGAAGAGTGGAGGCTTCATGTTGGGTATATTATTCTTGCAACAGGGGATGATAACAAGACAGGCATCTTGACAGGCATGGGGCTCCGGGCAAAGATAAAATCGACATGAAGGAGACATGGAAGGATGGTGTCTTCCAGTCTGGCTCCTCTTGGGCATCGTCTCAAGGGAAACCACGAGTCCACCACATGTTTATCGCTTATGATCCAAGGTGAGGCCTAGGATTTCCAGATTTGAGTCCCCTTCGCCTATTCAAACAGACCCAGAAGAGGGTGCGAATATTGTCGCCTAGGCAGATCCCAATTCATTTACCATTGTGTCCGATGTGTCGATCTGGGGGAGTTGCTAGGGTCTAACTTCTAAGTGTGCATGTGAACAAGCTTTTCATTCGAGTATGAATGTCACATGTGTAACAAGACAGTGAGCTTTGAAATAGCGGCGAGAGATACGGACAGCGACCTGGAGTTACTGAGTCTCTTCTATGTCGCCATACTAACACTGCACGATAAAAAGTCGACCGATCCGCGATGACCCCCGAGTTCCCAGAAGACCTATTCAGCCCCCAACTTCCAAATTCTAACAACGACAATAGAAGCACCATGTCTATCTTAACATCTCCACCCACTGCAAGACTGGACAAGGTTTCCCGCTATGGTATTTCGCCCTGTTATAACGATTTGTGGTCATGCCTCCATTGCCTTCCCTTAGTCGGGCGAACGGCTGGAACCGCCTCGACCTGCAGCACTCTGTCCAGGTAGGATACGGACTCGGGCATTCTTCTCTTAGAGTCCAACACAAACATGGACATAAAGGGGTCCATCTCGCATCATCCGACCCGGATACCTTTGATAATCCACGCGCAAGGCAACGTTGAATTGTCCGAGACGAGGTTCCAATCGTTGAGTACAGTGGCTCACCGGTGTTTTCGTTGTCGTCCACCAATCACCTTAATGGGGTGGCGTCGTGGCGATCCCTCTTTGGCAGTGCACTCTGAGTCTCTGACACTCTGTGGGTTGGTTAGTCACAGCCTTGCAGCCAAAGCAACAGCACCATCGAAGTTGTTCACGAAAACCAAGGTGGTCACTTGAAAAGTAGTGACTTGTGGGTTTGTCTGATTTTTTTTTTCTCTGGGCTTGCCGCTTGGCTGCGGAATGAACAATTGCCGGCCTTATCTTGTGTTCGTCGCGACGGAACCATCATTCCGAGGACCCATGGCGCAACGGTAGCGCGTCAGATTCCAGTATAGGGGATTCCTGAAGGTTATCCGTTCGAATCGGGTTGGGTTCAATTTCCCATTGAAGTCCTGTCTTTTTCTTTTTTTTGTGTTGTTTTATTCTTATTATTTTCTCTCTTCCCCTCTTTTGATTCATCTTTGCCTTTGCCGTGTCCTTGGATGCCATAGCGTGAACCCGGGTTAAGGTATTAAACGGAACAGACCAAGTTGCAACTAAATGTACTAAAGCATAACATAGAGTCCTAGTTCACTGATATTATGAACATTATCATGTGAAAGGGGCGAGGCTTAGTCCTTAAATCATTCAATTAACCTTGCATGTCTTCTAACCATTGCAATGTTCTCTTTGCACTTATTCAGAAACATGTCACGCAAGTTGCAACATCGTAGCTCGACATTGCACCCGCCCCCATGGATACCTGGATTCGCGCAAATAGCAAGTCATCCCACTCACACCGTCGTAGACCACCTCCTTAATTGCCCTTCGGAGCTGGGCTGGGTCGTTCCTCGATCTGGGCGACATCGGCCCCCTGACCACCCTTCGGACCAGCCGCCGCCTGGTCCACCGACGCAGTCTCGACATCCTGCTTCTTCCCAAGACCCTCCTGGAAGCCGAAGAGGGCGTTCATCGACTCCAGGCTAAGGCCCTTCGTCTCGGGGATGACGAACCAAACAAAGATGGCCATGGAGAAGCAGAAGCACGAGAAGAAAATGTAGGTGCCAAACCCACCGACCCCCATATCCTCCAGCATGGGCGGCACAGCGCGGCTCACGACAAAGTTGAAAAGCCACTGCGTCGCCGCAGCATACGAAACATTCGTGGCGCGCAGCCGAGCGGTGGCGATCTCCGACACGTAAATCCAGCACACGGGACCCCATCCGAACTGGAACATGCACGCGAACAGGAACACGCAGACGAGGGCGACGTAGCCGGCGGCGGAGACGTCGCCCCCGATCTCGGGCTGGGCGACGCGGATGAAGATGCCGATGTACAGCATGGTCAAGCCCTGTCCGATCCCCGTCCAGATGAGCGAGCGGCGGCGGCCCAGCGAGTCGGCGACGAAGACGAGGAAGACGATGACGGCGATGAGCTTGACGAGGCCGTAGATGCCCGTGGCGAAGAGCTCATTCGACTCCCCCGTGACGCCCAGCGTGGCGAAGATCTGCGGAGCGTAGTAGTTGATGGCGTTGGTGCCGGTCATTTGCTGGAAGAACATGAGGGAGATGGAGATGAGGGCGCGCCTGCGGTTCGCGGGGACGAGCCACATTTCCTTCTGCAGGCTGAGCCAGCTCGCGCCGGAGAGGATGGCGTTCTCTTCTTCGATGGCGAGTCGGATGTTGTTGAACTCTTCGGCGACGTACGGGTGGTCGGGCGGCAGGGCGCGGACGCGGGAGAGGACGGACATGGCTTCTTCCCACTTGTCTTGCTTGGCCAAGTACCGGGGGCTCTCGTTGCAGAGGAACATGGAGATCATGAGCAGCAGGGGAGGCACGCCCTGGAAGATGAGGGGGATCATGTACCGTGCGGTTCCGGTGATGTGCTGGATGCAGCCGTAGTTGATCCAGTACGCCAGGAAGATGCCGGTGACGATGAACAGTTGGTAGATGCCGGTTAGACCGCCGCGAATGGCCCGAGGGGCGTTTTCGGCGACGTAGAGGGGGTTGACCATGGAAGCGAAACCGGTACCGAAACCACTGATGAATCTGTGGAACGGCGCATTTGTCAGTATTCGTATCGACGGAGCAAGCAGAATGTTAAGACGAGGGGAATTCTCCAAGTTCGTGTTCGCTATCGTACCTGCCGATGTACATGGGAGCCAAGTGACCGGAAGCAGCGGCCTGGAAAATGACGCCGATGACGCTGAAACCGCCAGCGGCCCAGATGAGGACGGGTCTTCGGCCGAAGCGGTCGGCGGCCTGGGCGGCGAGCAGGGCACCGAGGAAACATCCCGCCTGGAGGGTGCTCACGATGTTGGCACTTAGGTTGGCGCGGTCGATGGCGCTAACATATTCATCGGTGAGCTTGTATAGCCTGTGGGAAGGGGATGAAATCATAGTTAGCTTCATGTTTCGTCTGAACGAGGGGAACAGAGAGAGGGAGAGGAGGGAGAGAAGGGAAGCGCACTCTTGGAACTCGGGCATACGAAGGACACCGCCGATGACTCCCGTGTCGATACCAAAGATCAAACCACCGAAGCAGGCCTATTTTCATAAAATGCGATCAATGATTAGCAAGGGGAGTTCCTAGCTGACCCTCGACGTGATGACATTGATCTCTATCCTGGGGGTGATTTGACTTCAACCACACCACAGCAGCTTCAACTTGAACGTACCGAGCAGGCAAGTGCATAGACCCTCCATCCATAAATCTCAGGAGGATCCTGCTTCATAGCCTGATTCTTGACGATCTTTTGCAACAACGACATGATGGCGGTGGTGTGATGGTGCGGCCGGGAGAGAGGGGTTGTTGTCGGTGAACTCTCAACTCCTCAACTATCTTTGTTTGTCCTTCTTTTGCTCTCCGTCTTTCGTCTTCCGTCTTCGGCGACTCGGCGATGAAAGATGCACCGCGCAGTAAAACTTGAGCTTCCCACAAGGCCAGCCAGGAAGATGCACCCGTCGACCGTGCGCTCTGCGGATTGAGAAAGGACGAAGGAAGAGGCAGCACGAGGAAACCGCGGGGCAGACGATCGGAAGCTCGGGACAGTTGCACAGACAAGACCAGACCCCGAGTATTTATACTCCCGTTAGTATTACCACTCTACTCCAAGGTTGCCCACCACAATGTGCGACGAGCATGGTTCGGTAGTGGTAGACTCCGCTGGTCCCGATCAGTTAAGAAAGGAAAAAAGAGGAGAAGCTTGGGGAGTCTTGGACGTAACATACATGTGTGTATGTAGGATCTGCAACTGCATGGGGAAAAGCGAAATGGGCAATGGCCCGTCGGGGTGACATGCCAAGACCGGTTAAGATTCCGGGGAAATATCAATGGCGGAGAAAGAGAAGCCCCCATAGGGAGCCCGGGGCTTGTCCAGGGTGTCCCAGGGTGTCCCAGCACAGGCCTTTCCTAAGGTGTCCCCAGCCGTCTTATTCCGCAATGGGCCCCCTGTAAGCCTCCAAGCCTATAACGCGCCACAAGCGCCTCCCCACGGTAGTTGAGTTGCACCCACCATCAATGTCAGATGCCTACAGCCACCTTATCGGGGTGTGACTTGCGTTATTTCTGTAGACGGATAGGGTACTTCCGACCGATGTATCTATATTAATTTCCCCTCCTTTTACTTTATAGTTAGATATTTCCGCAGAGTATTTTTTACTCTTCTTTAATGCATATATATATCTTTTGCGTACCTTATTTATATGCTAATAGTTATAAGCCCGGCGTTCTAATAAACGAAGCTATTCCAATAGATCTTGTAGCTTTAAGGTAGTCAAAATAGCCTTAAGTCTATAGCGGTTAGCTTAGTATTATTGGCTACGTCCGCCTGCTTTATTTTAACCGTTATTCCGTTATTCCCTTATTTAAATCGCTTAACTTACTTAAACCTCTTGATCGTTTTATCGCTCCTTATTTAATCAATCGTTATAGTCGGTTTCGATAGTTTATTTCCCTATAGTCCTAGTTAGACAGACCATAGCCTTAACTGCGGCGTTACCTATAATAGGCTATACGATCCTTACCTTACTAAAAGAATAGCGTTATTAGATTAAGGCTATTATACAGATAGCCTACGCTAACTAGGTCTCTGACTTTATTAATCTAGACCTTAACGAATCTAAACGTCTTTAAAAGCTCGAATCCTCGGAACCTCTAGAGCTAAAAGAAGGTGACGAAGATAATACCTAGGATCGTAAGTTTAAGCTCTAGAACGTAAAAGAGAATAAATATTAGTAATAGTAATAAGGTCTAGCTACTTTTCACGACTATATCGCGAAGATAGTTAATCCTAACCTTAAAGATTAGTACGCGGGGAAGAAGGAGGTTAAAGATATCCTAATCGCCTTAAAGGACCATCTCAAACCTACCAACACTGCCCAGAAGTCCCTAGTCAAGAAGAGATAGGAAGAACACATACAAAATATACGGAGGATACCCTATAAGCGTTAGCTTTAGGACTTTATATCGCTATGCCGAGATTCGAAGACCTATAGCGTTAGATTTTCTAATACTATAGAGGATTAACTCGACGCGTTTTTTAGGGCTATCGGTACTATAGCTCTAGAGTAGTTAGAGGCGCGCTTTATAGAGATTTTAAGGGAAGATAAGGAAGACTAACCTATTATCGAAGAGGTTATAAACGAATATACGGTTTAGTTACGCTATAGGTGTCCCTACAGGCTTAATAAGAAGCCTATAGCGTTATCGTTCTATACGGCGATATTTCTAGGAAAGGATAAAGATAGTAGATAATAGCCTATTGATTAGGGAGGTTAGTAGTAATAGAGAAAGGAGGATTCTTCGGTAAAGGAATATATCTACGATTACGTTAAGATAGGAAGAGCTAAACGCTACTGTTATCCGTGGAGTGGCTGCCCGAATGTTAATCCGATACGCCGCTAAAAGGGCTTTACGCCTACGAAGGAGGTAGTAGAACGCTACGACCGCGTTATTAAGAGCTAAAGTGCTTCTAAGTAAAAGAGATTTAGGGAGTATATTAAAAAGGATATCGATAAGGCGAAAAATAAGGTAAAAGAGACTAAAGCTAAGTTACTAGAGAAAGATTAGTCTAAGGAAGTATCTAATTTTATTAATAATAGGGAAGAGGATTCTGACGATAGCTTTTACGATATATATTTTGCCTTTAATTTCGTGGGAAAAGAGGTGGTATCGTCGACCTTACCGTCGGTTTTCTCGCTCCTGCAGACTAAATAGATGGTTAGTAACGATCTTTTTAATCAGTTATTAATCGATTCGGGGTCCTTAAGGTATATAACGAATTAACGCTACCTGCTCAAGGACTTCTAGCCTATTACCACTATCGTTAGATTTTAGATAGGTGGTGGCACCTTTAATCTAGTAGAGGGGTACGGCACCCTGCGTCTTTAGGTTAAAGATATAAAAGGTTATCCTTATACCCTTATGCTGAAGAGCGTGGCGTTTATAGATAGATATCCTATAACGCTGCTAGCGACGCGTAGGTTATAGAAGGATTAGAACGCTGTTTTTATAACCGGTAGAGATATCTTAGTAATAGACCGATATACCTGCCTGCCGTTAATTAACGTTAACGGCTAATATACCCTTAAACCTACTAAGGGCACGCTATAACGCTTATAGTAACAGAGCTATTTTAATAGCTTAAGGGAACTAAAGCCTATAAGCGTGGCCGACGCCCGTTTATAGCATAAGAGGCTAGGGCATACTAACTCTTAAGCACTGGCATAGCTGTTAAAAGGGTGCGTAGAAGGCATCGTGGCTTTAAAAGGAAGAGCGGCACCTTTAGTGGTGGACTGCGAAGCTTGCGCTATTAGTAAGGTAAAAAGAATAGTATCGCGACGTCCATCTACTTATAGGCTAATAAGGCCTTTTTAGGGGATTAACGTGGATTTAGTTTCTATAGATCCTGCCACTAACGGCGACGATACTATTGCCCTGTTCTATAATCCCTGCACGTATAAAAACGTGATAAGAACGATACTAGGGCATAAACACGTACTATCCTCAATAGCTAACTTCGAACGCTTCTTATAAAGGTAGTATAAACTGCTTATTAGTGTGATTAGACTCGACGGAGAGAGGGCGTTATAGAAGAAGCTGGATAACTAGTTTTTAGATCGTGGTATCCTGCTAAAATGATCGGCTCCTTATATAGCCGTATAGAATGCTAACGATAAACGGTATAGGGGTATTATCTTCGCTATCGCGAGGGTATTAGTAGATACCTTAGGCTTCTAATAGGATTTATAGCTAGAGATTATTATAGCAGTCATATACCTGTATAACCAGATTCCATATAAGGATTTAAGTTAGTAAACCCCCGAGTGAGCGTTAAACGCGTGGCTATAAAAGGAGGGCATTGTTAACTTTATAACCACTAATCCCTTAATTACGCACCTAAAGAGGTATAGTTATAAGGCGTACGCGTTAACTGCTAACTACCTGCGAGGAACGTATAAGAACGAAAAGCTCGCGCCGAGGGTATATATCGGTTATTGAATCGGTTACGAGGGCACTAATATTTTTCGGATTTAGGTGCTAAAATTAGGGAGGATCCTACGTATAAAGGACGTCGTATTCGACGAGTTAGTCCTTTATAAAAACAGGGGAGAGGAGCCTAATATGCCTTTAGAGCTGTATAAAGAGCTTAATCTACCGTTAGATTAAGGGCGAATCCACGATCCTTTTAGCGTTATAACCGATATCGTCGATTTCGGTATACCTATAGTAACGCAGCAGAACTCTATAATAGAGGCTTTAGAAGAGGGAAGAAGGCGTTAATAATAGCCTTAATCGTTAAGATCTAGGGGGGTGGCCGGCGGTAGTAGTAAAGGATTAAAAACCACTACTAACGCAAAAACCACCGAAAACGCCTCTAAAAACTAATAGGTTATTAACTAAGAGGTATTACGTGGAATGGCTACCACGGCTACGGCAGGCACGGTTCCTACCATTATGCCTGCCGTTATTCCTGCCGTTAGTTCTTCCTCTTTAACTACTATTTTACCACCCTCTTTAAGAACAGCACTAAATTTGCCCTCTTTAATAACCTCTTCTTTAAGGCCTATTTATATGCCTTTTTCGCTACCTCTTAATAATCCTCAGACACCTACAGCTACGACAGTTAAACGCAGCGATTAAGAGGAATCTAAAAATACCAGCGGTTCTTCCTCTTCTAGTTCTTCCTCTACCTTAGAGGAGGCTATAGGAGAGGCCACCGACGATGCCGTCGGAATAGGATTATTATCGCCTGACTAATCCGTTCTTAAAGAGGCTATTGCCACTACTATTACCGCTACTCCTTAAATAACTAATCTATAAGCAGTAACCCTATCTTTAGCAGCTAAGTCTAATCCCACTACTACTACTGCTATTACGGCCTAATAACTAACCTCTTATTCGCCTACTTTAGCTTTAACGCCTACCCCTATAGGGCGGCCTACTCGTAATCGCCGACCTCCTTCTAGATACAACGATTACGTCTCCCACTTTACCTTCGAGAAGCCGAAAAAGCCGCTATTACGCCGCGAGATACCTAAGGAACCGTTAAATTAGTCTTAGATACTAAAGAGCCTATATAAGCTATAATAGCTTAGGGCAGCCGTATAAGAGGTGGATACACTTAGGTTAATAGGCACCTTTAAAGCAGCAGAGCTGCCCTAGGGAGGGTAACATACCTTAGACCTTAAATAGGTCTTTAAGTATAAGGTTAACCTGTCGGGGTACGTTAGTAAGTTTAAGGCGAGGTTATACGTGCGAGGCGATTAATAGCCTAAAAACTACCTTAACGCCTATGCCTCCACCCTTATAGGAAGGACCTTTAGGTCGTTAATAGCTATTACTGTCTATTTTAATCTGGAAACACGTTAGCTTAATACCGTTAACGTCTTCACTAACGCCACCCTTAACGAGGAGATCTACGTTAAGGATCCGCCCGGCTAGCCGCTGCTTTAAGCAGTCAAAGGCCCGAAGAGCGACGAGGACCTTAAGGCTATTTTAAAGCTATCGCGACCACCTTTACGCGGTATATAACGCCTGCGTAGGGCGTTATATAGTCTTCGGCGTTCCCCTAAGCTATAGCACGAATAGCTCTCTTCCGTTTTAGATAAGTACGACCTAAAGTAACTAACTAAAGATAATTACGTCTTTAAAAGTAAGGAACTAATCGTCTTCTTCTACGTGGACGATATTATTCTGATCTATAGGAAGGAATATTAATCTACTACTAATTCTCTTATATAACGGATATAGCAGCACTTTTAAGTAAGGGATCTTAGCCCACTTAAGTGGTTCCTAGGGATTAGAGTGGTTCGCGACCGCTAATAACTTCGGCTATAGCTTTCCCTTAAGAACTATATCACCGAAAAGATTAAGGCGTTATAGGTAGATTATAGTGGGCGTAGGATTAAAAGCCCTCTTTCTTTTCCTAACGTTTTAGAATTATCTGCTACCGACTAATAAGCCTCTATAGAGTTAATCCACCTATATCTACGGAAAGTCGGTTCTATTAATTACGCGGCCTATTAGACCCGGCCTAACGTACCTAAAGCTGCTTCGAGGCTTACCGAATTTAATACTAACCCGTTAAAATAGTATCACGATACCGTAGATAGGTGTTTAAAGCACCTCGCCTCCACTAAGTCCCTATACCTTTACTTTAGACCACGTAATAACCACTTATAGCACGCACTTTACTATGCTTCTAATATAGCCTTTAGGGACGACTATAAGACGCGGTATAGCTTTTAGGGCTACACTATATTATTATTCGGGGGTCCTATAGACTAGAAGGTAAATAAGTAAATCAGCGCTATAACCTCTAGTACTAAAGCCGAGCTTATAGCACTTTCTGCTACTACTAAGCAGTATATCGTAATTAGGCGTTTAATTAAGGACCTAACCTTAACCTTTAAAAACAAGCCTTTAACAATATACTACGATAACGACTAAACGAGGATCCTTTTAGAGGCTTTACGCCCTTAGGTTATATCTAGATTAAAGTATCTAGATATCCATGCCCTTTAGATCTGATAGGTTGTTTAATAGAAGAAGGTCCTGGTCGCCTGGATCTTGGCCTAAGAGATAGTTAGCGATAGGCTAACTAAAGTACTTCCCCCGCAGAAATATAAGGCGTTTATATATCTATTAGGAATAGAGGTCCTAAGCCAGGGGGCTTAAGGTAATTTATAAGAGGCGCGGTGCTAAGTTTAAAATCTGTAGCCTAGATTAACCGTTTTTAGTGCCCTTTAGATTGTTATTTGGGCACCTGTTTTTACACGTTTTTGACGTTTTTAGGCATAAAAAGAGCGCGCTTTTTAATAAGCCGTTCTTTAATCGTTGGATTGATATCTAGGCCTCTATTTTACCCTAGATTTACGGCTTTAATTAAGCAGAATAGTCAGGATTAATCCTGCAGTTCTAGGAGGGTATATTAGATGCCTATAGCCACCTTATCGGGGTATGACTTACGCTATTTCTGTAGACGGATAGGGTACTTCCGACCGATATATCCATATTAATTTCCCCTCCCTTTACTTTATAGTTAGATATTTCCGCAGAGTATCTTTTACTCTTCTTCAATGCACACACACATCTTTTGCGTACCTTATTTGTGTGCTGACAATCAACGTCGTTCTCCAAGTCGAGGGGGACGTCCACGGTTCCAGGGAAATGTGGATAAATGAAAGTCCACAAATCAGGGTTCCTCGTCCTGACCGGGGGGTCATGGACGAAGTGGACAGACGCTTCACCTCCGCACCTCCAAGCCGGCCGCCCGCTGCCCGCTGCCCGCTGCCATTAGCCGTTGTGGCATGCGGGGTATTGTTTAGTATTTCCCATGGTCTATGATGCCCGTGCTTTTAAGGTTTATCTTGGCCAACGAAGCTGTTTGAGGGTGATGATGATGCGTGGGGACTGGGGGCTTATCTGGGTTTCCCCAGATCTCCCTTCTTCTCACTCTTCCCAGGGCTTTGGAATCACTCCTTCTTTGTTCCCAAGCTGCCCAGACGGCACTTCTCCAATACACCAACCACACAGAAGTTAGAACGGGGCTCTCGTTCTCCACCTTCTGGGCAACACGAGGGGTGACTTGATTGGTGATACCATGTGGCCAGGATCGCCCTTTTTTGACCTTGGCCTCGCAGATTTCTATTCATCTTGAACATCCAGGTGATGTCTGAGTCCTGACCTATCTTTGGTCTGCCTTGGCACATGGCATGGCATGGGTATGAAAAGTTAGAACACATAGCATGTCGCATCGACTATCGCCGACACCCCTCCCATGGTCCCGTCCGAAAGACAGCTTCCTTGATCGTCGTGCCGAGATATTCAGTGTCCAGACAGCAGCCGGACTCTTCTCTAATAGCGGTTAGGATGGAAGCGAGCGAATGAATATCCAACAAGTCCGCCCCTGTTCATCAACTCGCCACGAACACATCCCGCCGTGGCTGCATGGAAAAGTTACACGCCATGGCTTTGGGCCAATCGCTCTTCTATAACTGCACGTTTACATCGCTGCGGAGAGCTGTCGGTCTACCGATATACGGACAATATTTGATATTCACCCCAAGTCAACAGAAGGCCCGTCAAAGTTGTCATATCCGGGGTAACTGAGGGTAACGAGTTTATACCATGTTTGAGTCCAACATGCTGAATTGGGGCACACTGCATCGTGTGTCATGGGTATAAAGCTAGTTAGTTGGAAGCCTTGGAGTTTAGTTGCTCTCGTAACTGGGCCATTGCAGGTAGCGCTTCTTTCAACCTCGAGAATCGACGCCCCTGGGTGATATATCAACGCCGAGGCTGTCTGAAAAATGGATTAGAGACTAGTTCGAGGTTTGATCTCTCAACTGTGAGTCTGTGACTAGCACAAGCCTCATCTAAGTACTGACATGTTGAAAATAAAGCAAACAATTCCAGTTAAACATACGCGCGGTAAGAGATATAAGTCACACGTGCATGCAACATTCATCGTAGCCCAAATCCCCTAACAATTTATTCTGTTAGACCTCTGACTTCCTTAACGATGATCCCAAATCATACGTATCATAGAATCCGTTAATCACTCCATCTCCCTTGCCCGAGACACTCCATCTACTAGCTCGTGATCCTGTCCCCCAATTACCGCACCACACTCGGGGCAGCGAGCTAGCTGCATCGGCATTCCGCACTCCCCGATGGCGAACTATACGTTTACGTGTCAGTGAACGCCTTAGCACACATCATGCATATAAAGCAAGTTGAGAAACATGAGAACAAGAAAAGCACAATGACGACAGTTAAAGGCCACATACCGGATGTCCATTGGCGCAAGTATACCAATGTCCCGAGTTCGTGCTAAGGCCTCGTGGACCGCCAACCATGGCCGCCTTGATAGACTTCCTCTCCTCTTCCGTCACTACTTCATATCGTGGGCCGCTAAGCAACCGTTGTTTGGTAGATTCGACCGCTTTTCGAAGCTCCTCACTATCCGCCAGGCCATCGCAGAGGCGCAGAGCATCCTCAAGGTACTCAAGAGCAGCATCACGCTTCTCGCGAAGCTCCGCATGCAGGTTGCTGAGTCTCGCAAAGGCGAGCATGGCGCCGATTGCGACGCGGGGGAGTTTTGCCTCCTTCGCCTTGGTGATGATGTCTGTGCATAACTCTGCGAGGGTCTCCGGTGACTTTGTTAGACCCGTGGGTTTGGCTTTGGCTTCTGCGGACTCTGGTTCCGGCTTCTTCTGGCCCGCAACGGCGAGTTGATCCCGTGCGATCACTTCGTGGGCGTGTACCTGCACCAGAGCTGCTCTCAGGGTCACTTGTCGATCCAGGACCGACACGAGCAAGGTTTTGCGTGTTTGTGGCGACTCCAACGAGATGTTCAGTCCGTCGATCTGCTTTACCAGAGACGCGGGGCCGGTCACTTCTCTCTGCCGGGTTAGGATGGCGTCGAAAAGCTTCATCGTGGGTTGATGCTCGAGATCCATCGCCTTGCGGTATAGCCCAGCATCATGAAACAGCTTGAGACCGGCCTCGTACCGTTTTCTGGTGGCTTGAAAGAACTCCATTATCCAGGATGTCTTGGACGGGTCCCTTTCAAGATCATCCTGGACCTCTTCCAACCGCTTCTCCAGTTCTTGGATCCCTCGAAGGCCGTTGGTGAGGAATCGCTTCGCCGTCTCGTCCATGACAGCTTTGTTGATCGCGCGGTTATACCGTCTCGTCGAGAATTGGCGGATCGGACGTCTGCAGTCCGGGCACGCCGGCACAGCCATGGACATCCGAGCTCATATGTCCCGGAGACCGGTATATTCCCCCGTCCTCATGTCCATGGTATACATTTCTGCCATGGAAGCATGTCCATCTATCGTCTCTCCCGTGTAGAAGTGTCCGCAGCCGAGGAAGATAACGGGGTTCTCGTTAAGGTCGACTTCTGAGTATCTCTTCATCTCGAGCAGATCGACGCAGGCGTCCCCTTGGTCGCCGCGCACTCGACAGTACCGCGTGTCCGTGGGACACTCTTCGCCGCAGTAGCTGGGACATGGATATCCGCAAGAGAGAGTCTTGTCGCAGCGCTTGTTGCATGGAAGTCTGTCGCAAGGAGCGGCGCACGGCATGGTGCAGGCCTTTTTGTGCTTGCAGGACCAGGTGCATTTCTCGATGCAGGGGGAACATGGCTTGCTACAGGTAGAGCTGCAGCGAGAGTGAGGGCAGCGGACCTACGATGAGTTCATGTTAGTACTAGTTGTCCCTCATTGCCAAATGGTACGTGTAAGTGATCCTTTAGTCCTCTTGGACCACAGCAATCGACTCCATCGCCTTGGGAAAAGGGGGAACAAGAGAAGAAAAGCAGCACAGACAAACTCACCTCGCATTTCTGCTCACAGCTTCCACACTCTTCACCGTCATGGCAGACCCTGGAACACCGGTGATTGCAGGTCCCAAACGGACGGTCACAGGTCTTCTTGCACTTCCCGTGTTCGAACCCCACGGCGCCATTCTCCCCCTCCTTTCGACAGGTCGAGCAGACCCCGGGACACTGATGTCCACATGCCAGGAATTCCAGGCACGGCGTAGGACACGAGAACGTATCAGCCTTGACGTCCCTGTAGCACGGGACTTCAACGTGGTGCTCGCATCTGGGGACGACTTGCTTCACCCTAACCGTACATCGAATCTTGGATAGATTGAGAGTCTCAAAGCAGCGCACCTTCTGCTTGATATGACCACATGGGAGCACGACGTCCTTCACCCAGACCTGGCACTGTCCGCACTTCTCCCCACAGAGCTTGGGGCAAACATGCCCGCACGTCGTACGAATCCGCGGGCAAGGTTGAGCGCATGAGAAAGCGTCGTGCAAAGACTGCGAGTGACACGGCGCCTGGCACTTGTGTCCACACGGCTCGAGCCGCCGGTCGCAGGGGAGCGTGCAGCCCCCCTCGGGGCTCTTCTGCATGAAATCCTCCGGCGTGGAGCAGAGAATCGGGGTGTCTTCGTGCCGGGGACAGCACAGGGAGATAGATGTGCCGACGGCCCCTGACTGGGAAAGCCGGCCGTGGACGCCCTCCCACATGGGGACGTTGAGATAGGTCTCGGCGTTGCCGATGAGGTACATCCCGTGCTGGGCTCGGCTCAGGAGAACGGTGATGCGGTTTTCGGTGCGGAGGAATCCTACTTTGCGGGTCTGGTTGCTCCGGACCAGGGACACTATGATGATCTTTGCTTCCTCTCCCTGGAAATTGTCGACGGTGGCAAGACGGAGGGTTTGGATGAGACTCTTCTTTTGGAGGGCCTTTTGCATGCCGGTGCCCTCTTCCTCTTTGGGTTCCTCTTGGTCGCCGCTGATGCCCTCCCCTTCCCGAGCCAGTGTTTCCAAGTCTCGGTCGCTGAGGGTGATCTCGAAATCCTTGCTCAGGGCTGCCCTCAGCTTCCTCAGCTGACCGGTGTAGGGGGTCAGGAGAGCAATATCCGAGCTCGAGTAGGCACCCTGGCGGACGAGGTGTTTGACAAGTGCCGTCGCCATTCCCACCTCCCACTCATTGCTATGGGATTTCACGCGAGCCTCGTCGTCCCTCGACGTTTCCGGGTGCTTGTGGTCCAGCCAGAAGAGATCATGCCGCATACCCACAACGGACGGCAATTTCGCGACACTATCGTGGTCCTTGAGCTTGGGATAGATCCCCCTGATGAGCTGGGATATCTCGGGCCGCATCCGTCGCTGGACATCAAGCTGAGCCACCGGGGCAGGAAGCATTCCCGGTTCGCCGAGCGCCCGTCTCTCAAATTGGCTCCGGTCAAGCTGCCAGGCGAGGCCTTGGTGAGACTCGAGACTAAGCGAGTAGTTCTGAATCTGCGGTCGAAGTTGCAGATGGTCGCCGATCTGGATGAAGTGCTCCACCCCTGGCATGAGAGCCGAGATGATGTGCGGCTCGAGGACCTCGGCGGCTTCCTCGCAGACGACCACCTTGGCATGGATGCGGCGGAGCATCGCAATGTTTCGTGACAGACCCGTGGTGGTTATGCCGATGACGTCGGCCTGGAGGAGGGCGCGACGGTTCAGGTCGTCATGGACGTTGTGGATGGTTTGTCGATGGCCCATCGCCTGGTCCAGCAACTCGAACAAGCGCTCGCTCTCTTCCTGGCGCATGGAGGCTGCCCAGCTCTCGGCAAGGATCCAGCGCTCGGATTCAGATAGTGAGTGGATGCGATTCTCGGCGCGACGAGTCAACTCCTCCACATCCACTGCCGAGGTGGTGTCATTCGTCTTGAACATGAATCCTTTTGACTTTCTCCCAAGCCAGACGGCCAACGGATCATCTCCAACCAGCTCGAACCCGTCCTCGTCCAAACGCTGAAGTTGCGCGTGAATCCTTGGATAGTAGTTCGAAAGAAACTTTCCTAATCCCTCCCACGTCGGTCTGTTCCGGCACTTATGGAGAGGCTTCAGCTTCTGCCCGACGTTTTTCAAGCGTTCTTCCAATTCACTGTGAGCCTTGCCGAGGATATGTCTCTCGACCCGCGTCTTGTCGAGCTCGTTGGCGACGACCCGGAGATTCTTCCCTTCGAGCTCTTCAGACTTGCTTCGCCCGCCAATGCGGATGACCTTGGAGATGCCAAAGTGAAGGAGGTGTGTGAGGAACTGATCCAGGGCGTGGTTCGTGTAGCAGCTGAAGAGTGATAATAGTTAGCCAAGAGTCCTGCAGAGTGAAGTGTATACGTCTTCCTCACATGCATTCTTCGGGGGATCATTGAACTTACATGACGAGTATAGGGCCGAGCTTTGCTTTCACTTTGTTGTGGAGGAGAACCCTCATGAGTTGAACACCGACGTAGGACTTTCCAGTACCCGGCGGCCCTTGAATCAAAGCGTACTCCCTGGTCAGGGCGGCGATGAGACCCTCGCATTGGCCGTGATCAAGACCAGTAAGTTGCTCAATTTTCCCCATGTCAATATTTCTGTGGGAATCTGGCTGTGAAGCGTCGATGGTTAAGGGTTCGCCTTTGGTAATGGGGTCGAGATTGAAGACGAACCCAGGGCGACGAGCATATGCCGGCGGCGGGATCTCGCTTGGCTGCCCGGAGTTTGGATCATTGGGAGACCCAGGAAGGATCCAGCGTCGCAGGGCCATGTCCCCCTCGCGCATCATCTTCTGGAGGTTTTCGAGAACGGGAACAAACGTCCCTGGGATCAACCCGTTCACCTCGACGAGGACACCTTGACTCTTCTCACCGTGGGCTTTCATGAGCAAGGCCACGTTCTCCCCCGAAAGGGTCGCGAGCTTGACGCCGATAGCGGGCGGTTGATTCTTGGAGACGAGGCGGATGGTGTTGCTCCGCCTCTCTCCCTTCTCGGCCCCCTTTTTCGGACCCTCAACCCTCTTCACGGTGACCTCAAGGAAAAGCAACCGCTTCTCATTCCCGTCCGGGAACATAAACGCCACGAGCTCCCCTTCCTCCAGTCGAGAGGAGTCTTGCCACCAGCGACGTTGTTCGTCCACAGACTTTTTTCGGAGCTGATACGGAAGCTCAAAGACAACACTCGCCTGTAGGGGGTTCGGCCCATGTCCTTCGACAAAGACGTGTTGGATGCTCGCTTTTGCATAGATCTGAGCACTCTTGTCACTGTTAAACCGAGGAACTGAGCGGTTGCACGAAACATCTTGGGCCAGTAGATCTTTGAGCGCGTCCTTGACCGGACCGAAGATGTCGTGGCGTAGCAGCCGGAAAGCGCAGTCCAGATGGCGCTGAACCGGATCTTCGATGACGTTGGGCCTGGTGAGGTCGGTGGACGGGAGATATTCGGTCTCGTCGCTGTCGATCTCGCTGTAGGTGGGGAGAATCTGGATCCGAGAGATGTCGGCAAAGTCGTTGTCGTGCCGGCCTCCTGGGAGGGGCGTTTTCATGGGGAACGTAGAACGGATGGACCGAAGGTCCATGTGCTGTGGGACTCGTGCATTGCCTTTCCCTTCCGAATTCGGGGCGTCGGCAGCTACTCGAGCCTGTTCCCGCTTCAACAACTGCCACAGCCATGCGAGACGCGCGGGGATGGCTGTGTTGGCATCGAGGTCAGATTCGGCCGAGAGCTGCTCCAGTTGGTTCACGAGTGGGTTTAGATCTCCGTTGAAGCAGACACGAAGCTGTCGATGGAGGAGCTGGGAAAGAGCCTCGAGCATGAGCAAGGCGACAGTCGTATTCTTGGTTTCGAACTTTGACTCCAGGCTCGGTTCAGCACAATAAAAAGCGTAGTATCTTCGCAGTCGGTCGCATAATTTGGTCAGAAAGGAGATGGCCCTGTCTCCGTTTGCGCCACCGAAGAAGGTGTAGATCTCACCGACAAAGCCGTCGATGGAGATGGGATCCAGCAGCGCGGGATGGGTGATGACCTTCAGATAAGCCATGGCAGAGATGACAGACCTATCTATATCGCCGTCATCCATGTTCATACTAGTTGCCATGTACTCGTGGCCCCTGAGATTATCGTTGACCAGGTCCTTGGCGAGAAGGTGGTGTATCTGGTGGTTATCTTCGTCTAGGATGGCAACAGCGTTTGTCCAGAACTTATAGGCATCGGTATTCGAAACCTGTCGGGAAGGTTGCGTGGAGGAATTGAACAGTGAGCGACCACGGTTTGGTCTAAGCAGTCTCTTGACATCCCCGTATTGATCCTGAAAGTCGAACTCCTGACGAGAGGACTGGGTGGGATGAGTGCCGTTTCCACTGGTTGACTGTCGCTCGTTTGACGTCTCGAGGTCGTGAGAGTATCGACAAGAGGTCCCAAAACGACAAGAACCTGTTCTCTGAAAGAAATGACAGACGCCTTTGCTTGGGGTTTTCGTGTCATCACCTCTCGCCTTTCGCCACGGCGTATCACGTCCCCGGCCAGGGCCACCCCCTCGGTTGGACGAAGCCCCGGATCCACGACGCCACGACAAGGCCATGATCTAAGAAAGATACTCGGGGTGTTTTGATGGAGAATGTGGCAGCTCTGTCTCTAGAGGAATGAGGTGTTGTTCTCGTTATCCTGATATCAAGAGAAGACGATAGATCCATCCATGAATGAATCAAGAAGTGTGGTTCTCAGGAGTCAGGATATGAGTTAGGAGAGGATATTTAACCTAGAAATTTCCAAGGCTAGGCAGATACATTTCAAAGCGCACATCAAGTCACTGAGCCGGACATGACCCTCTCTAGGTGCCCTTCATGGTGGTCGGCCTCCCGCAGGGCCTAGGGCTGTGAGCCTGTGACCATCTCAGCCCCAACCAAGGCTGTTCGTGCTCTCTGCCTGATTCCATTTCTTGGTGTATTCAATACATGTACAAAGAACATACAGCCTCTATAACGAAGAGGGGTATTCCATTCCATTTTATGTACCTCTTGGCTTAAGTTATGGAGAGTGCACGCGTCGTTTGTTGCTGGGCGTCTGGTTGGTCATGTTGGTGAGGACTCTGCTCTGCAGCCAACGTGCATTCATGCATAATGCAGTGCATCCGCCTCACTTCGGCAGGCCGCGGCCGCCTAGCCAAACAAAACTGGATAAAGGGTCAAGGCTGTGTAGAATGCGTTGGTAGCAATAAAAATCCCCCCTATTCGCTTATGTTGGACCACGATGATACCAGACACTATCGTCTGTACTGAACAGATGGATGACCATCATGTAAAGGACACGGCTTAAGCTTCCACTCTGCCTTGCCAAGAAGATACAGAAAAGTCAACAGAATACGCTGGAACTTGCTAGAAGAATGTCTTGGACTCTTGGGTAACTGCAGCTCCATGACTTGGTTTATTATGGAGGCGGTAAACATTGATGGAATCACCGTCTTTTCCTCCCTTAACAGCCCCTGAGTCCTCACATGTGCATAAATTTCTCATTCATTGATTTCATTCTGACATTCCTATCACGTATCCACGTCCATAGTTCTAACCAAAGAACTTAGCCTTGCGCTGCTGAATCCCAAAGTAGTACTGCTGCAGGTCAGTCGCCTTCGTAGGCTCCCTATCGCCCTCAAATGTGCCCTCTCCCCGGCCATCAAAGTGAAGTTTCCAAGCTAAAGGAGATATTAGCAAATTACAGAACAATACGAACACGACAGAGCCACAGAGAAGGAAGACTAGACTTACTGCTCGGGTCGAAACTAAGGTAGGACCAGCTGTCGTTGAGGTAGGACTTCTCCCCTCCAATGCTGACCGTCTTGACCTCGCCCATCTTGCCCGGTGCGGGACGCAGGCCCTTGAGATCAGCCACGAGCTTGACAAGCCCAGTGACGAACGTGCTAGCAATGTGTTTGCCGAAGCACTCGTGGGACCCGTAGCTAAAGGCACCCACAGCATCCGTCTTGCGGTTCGGATTGAATGTATTCGCGTCGACGACCTCATTGGGGTTACGACCAGCCTCACCCTGGGAACAAGTGCGTTCAAGTTAGAAGAGAAGGGTCCTGACAGGAAGAAGAAAAAGAAGGAGAAGTGTGGGATGAGACTCACGATGAGCATAATAACAACGTTACCTGGCTGGATCGACTTGCCCTCCAGCTCAGCCGGCTGCGTCGCAACGCGCACGTTACGCTGCGAGCTCGTGAGACGCTGTGCCTCTTCGACGTAAGCATGAAGGGCGGCGTCGTCGTTCCTGTGTGTCAACTTCTGGACTTCGGCCCAGATAGAAGCGTTGTCCTTGTGGAGGAAATACTCCATGACCTCGTAGAACTGAAGAAAACGCAATATTAGCATCTTCATCGTGCCCCTTTTTTTCTTTTCAGGGGTTCACCGTCCACCCCCCTTCTCCTCTGTCTCTCACTCAGAAAAGAAAACAACTCACCAAAGTAACAGGTACTCCAACGCCACCAAAAGCCGTCAGCCACATGGTATCGACGATCTTCTCAGCAGAGTAGCCCTGTGCCAACAACTCCTCAACAAGCTTGAGACCACACGAGCGAAGTGAGTTCTTCTGAAGATACGCCTTCCGGGTGAAGACGGAGGACAGTGCAGAAGCAACGCCGAATCCCAAACCACGGCTGCGCGAGACCTCGTCGACGAGCTTCCGGGTCGAGCTGATAATGACGTCTGCACCCTCCTGCGCCCTCCGACGACGGTTGAAAGCCTGCCCAGGGTCATTGTTATTAGCGCCCCAAACACGGATATTGAGCAGGTGACGGTAAAGCTCAGCATGACTGAGCGTGCCATCAGGATTCTCATCGGTGCGAAGGTCAAAGTAGAACATATCAGCCAGCAGCTGCGCGTTAAGGGGGATAGCGACGTCGCGGATCAGGTCGATCTGATGGAGCCCCTCCTTGAAAGTGAAGGTCTCCTTCTCGACCAGCTGCGCACCCACCCTCTCAATAAACTCATGCACCGCCTCGTGCAGGTTCGGAATCTTGCTCATCGCCTTGGTCATGTCGCTCCGATTCTCCCGGTTCCGGGGCTGGTCGCCCGCCAACATGAACCAGCCCAGGTCCTTACCCTTCGGACCGGGGAAGATGTCGTTGGTGGGCTGCAGCCACGGCACGACGAACTTGGCCGGGTCGCCGAGCACCTCCTTGATGGCGGCGCTGGTGGAAACGACAACGGCCTTGCGAGGAGGCTTGGGGTCGTCCAGCGTATACTGGTCGATGGTCCCAATTTTCCGGGCGATCGCCTCGTTGGCCTTCTTCGTGTACATGGGCTGCATGACGGCGACGGAGTTGAAGGGGAACCAACCGGGGAGACCGCGCTGGATGAGCTTGTATAGCATGGAACCGCCGAGGGTTTTAGGGTCCTGTTGGACTTCGTTGTAGCCCCAGGCCGTCAGGTTGGAGACGGTGTAGTCGAGGGTATTAAACCGGTCCGAACGCACCAGCGTTATGGCGTCCGAGAGAACAGCGCGGCCGAGGGTGTAGTTAGGGCAGATGCCGCACCCGGGGTGACGGACGGGTTTGACGTCTTCGACCATGAGTCCGGGGTAGAGCTCCACCATGTCAGGGTCGGTGTACAGCTTCTCGAGGATGCCGGCTATGTCGGGATTTGGGTTGATATCAGTGAACGTCTCGTGGCGCTTGAGGCCGAAGAATTCACGGAACTCGTTGAGAGAAGCGACTTGCCACTTGCGCGCCTGGTTGATGCCGAGAATCTCGACAATCTTCAGCGCTTTGGGGATCCTACGGGCGCCAAAGCAACCCGCCGGGTCCTCCATAGCCTCCTTGAGGATGCGCACGAGGTCTTCGTCCTTGAACGTCCCATCCTCCTGACGCTCGAGGTCGTCAAAGGTGCGAGCGCTCGGATCCTTGGGAATGCTCTGCTCAAACTCCAACAGAGCTTCACCCAGTTCTACCCAGCTGACGTTCTGCAGATCGTCCGGGCTACGTCCAGGGAAGAGTTTGAGGAAGAACGTGTTAATCCACCGCTCGTCCTTCTTGGAGATGCAGGCGTGGAAGCGGTACAAAAGGTTGAACTCGACGCTGACCTGGTTGCCAACACCACGAGGCGTGCCCTCGCCGTCGTACTGCTTGCCAATCTCCACACGGGGGTCCAGCGTCCAGTCGCTATCGGAACAATGCGTGTTGGTGATGGCCCGGAGGTAGTCGTGTAGGCAGATGTTGATGTACAGCCCACCGACGATCAAGCGAGCCGTGTTGAACAGGTCGTGGTCCTGCTTGGCCGCAGCCCGGGCCTTGTCCTCCGGCGAGGCATCCTCGCTGCACGCCAGCGTGAAGCGTCCGTTCTCGTTGATCTGGAGCAAGACGTCGCAGACGTAGTTGTGGAAACGGCTGTAGAGGACGAGCATGACGTTGACGCCCGCGGGTTGACCCAGCAGCCTCTTCTCGTGGAAGGTGTCGGGCTTCAGTTTGCCGTGCTTCATGGTGCGGACCTCGAGCTGGTCTTTGAGAGAGGACCCGTACAGGGGCGCCAGGTCGAGGTACGACGACGTATCGGATTTGTTCATGTCGGTACGGCTGGTCCGGAAGATGTCGTGGATGATGATGGAGGCATGGTAGAAGAGCATGGACGACACGCCAGCCGGGTTCTCCTTGAAATTCTCATCATCTCGAGCCATCAGGAGGTCGAAGAGAAGACCGGGGTCTGGTTTGACTCCGTGAAGTCGCTTGAGTGTCCTGACCGACTTGGCGTAAGGGGTGCCGGCCTTGCCCAAGTTCGGCTCGAGGATGTTATTGAAGCTCCCGTCAGGCATTCGGTATTGAAAGAGACCATCCGGACCTTGTGGCACGTGTTCACGCAGGACCACGTCGCTATCAGGGGCCTTGAACTCAATGGTATCATAGCTCTTCGTCGACTGGTGGGGTTGGGGCTCCTTGGGGTTAACGACCTCGTACTTGACATCGCCGCCAACGTAGCTCAGGGGCGGGTGTTGGAGGCTGTCCCAGAGAGTGTCGATGAGTTTGTTGGTAAGCTGGGTCCTGATCTTGGATGTAGAAGGGAGACCTGTGAGGATGCCGATCAAGAGCTCGGTCGTACTACTACTTGTCAGTCTCAAGTTTGCGTCTCGGAGAGGTCAGGTTGTGAAGATGGTAGCACAGATCTGCTTACCCCTGCTTGTCATCAAGGGGTTCTCCCTTGCTCCTCAGCTGCTTGATCAGACCTGCGAGCTCGGGTATAGACGCCTGGCTCCTGACACCAGCATAGTCCTTCACGAGCTGGGTTGCAATCTTCAAAGGGTCGTCGAGAAGACTGCCGCTCGACTCATGGCGGGCCTCTCCGTACGCTTCACCAGCCTGGAATTTCTCATTGGAAGACATGGTTGCGCCAGAGATTTAGTTTTTATCGGTATCAGTAAGAATTTGATAGGGATGTGAATAGTAAGCAGCACGAGAGAGTAATGGCTGCTATACTAGAGGCATAGGGAGATATATATCAACTCTCGGACGATTCCTTCGACGCCTCTCGAGTTCCCTTTATACGTGACACGAGAGGTCGACCCCCAGGCAAGTTACACGACACTCACAGACCTATTAACGCCCCGAATCATCTTGCTACAACGGAGGGCACAATGCAACAAGCAACACCCAGCCAATATCCGACATGACATACGTCGTAGCTCATTCCTCAGTCTCTTGGACATCCGGCATTGTGATTCCTGCCGCCTGCTCGCCAAAACGGTCCAAAACGGTCCAAAACCGCATGCTGCCGCTAGGAATATGGATGCAGCTGCCTCTGTGCAATGCCCAATGGGAGATTCGCCTCGGTGCAATCGAAGTGTTTTTGCACTGGTATCAGCTTTGAGGCAGCCACTGCGTAAGTTCAGAGCTGAGAAAGGACGAGAGGGAATGGTAAGGGGGGGCAGCAAACAGGTCAGACCGGGCAGACCGGGCAGACTGAGCACGAAGAATGGTGGTGGAAGACCACATGCAATAGATGAAGTTGAGATTTGATACGTTGTACGGCACATGCAGACGCCTCGGAATGGAGGTTGACGACACTCTCGAGTTGACCCCTGCTCATGACATGATGATCATGATGATCTTTCACCGACGACTTCCAAGCAAAGTCACCCATGTTGACGCGAGACCGCGGCCCAGGCTGCAGCTACGGTTGCAGCTCTCTACCACTGTCCTCAACCTCCGCAGCTCCTCGAATAGCCACCCACAGGTCCCAGACTCCAACCCACCCCTAGATCTAGCCGCCTGACAGCAAAAGAGGGCGAACGGCCCGGGGCGGAATCCAGAGCCAAGAAGTTCTAGCTCACGGCCAGAAGCAAAGACGAAGATAAGTGCATGTGTAAATCAAAATCATTCGTTGGCGCAGGCGGATGGTGCCGACCATATGCATGTCTCGGAGCGATGGCCTCAAACAGTCGTTATATCGTTCATTTATTCGTCAAAGCGTCCTCCTGCCGCTGCCCGGTGTCTTACTCCACGCACCGCTGACCGCTCTTCGGAATGAAGTCTGCAGAGTGCAGACGATACATGTAATGTAGGGACTCGGAAAGAGTCAAGCCACCTCGTAGACATTGAGCACATATCTGGTGAAGCACAGCATGGTTTCCCCTCAGACTGTCAGACCCAGGACACGCGGTTCGAAATCTTATACGTCAAAGTCTGGGCGGGGACCCGGAGTCTTTACTGTTTTCAAACTCTGCCCTCGAATGACTTGTACGTGGATGCAGGTGTCGATTGCATGTGGTCAATTTATCCTCTGCATATTAGCAATACGAGTCTTGGATGGACCCAATATGGATAGATCATCTCAACGACAAGAGCTGGAAACCCCGATAGTCTCCCCGAAGACAGTTACCCCTAATGTCAACTCCCCGTCAATGTTGCGGGGCAACTCGCGACCGGGGAGAGCAGAATGCTAGAGTCCAGGACCCCTCTCGCAGAAGCTTGAGACCTTGAACTAATGCTAATTTCCGACGTCTCTTGGCGATCACAAGGGGCTACCTGCAGCTGCCCAGTGGCGAGCTGAAAACTTGACAGCCTATAAGCTTAGACAAAAGAGAAACACGAAGCTCCTGGGATACACACCCAAGCTGAATGCCACAGACAGCACTCCCTATCCGAGCAGTTAGTGTAGTCAGACGTGATACATGTTTGGTCGGCCGACCCGCAGAGGAGAGCGACGCAGCACAGTTCAAGGATCTCGGAAGAAATAACAAGCAGTGGTCAGAGCGTTGAATTATTGAATACAGCAGGAAGTCAGTAGCCATACTAGCTAGGCTCGAGGCGGCTGGATGTAAGTGCATGTGAGTGCGACCAGGCTGGGTAGTAGGAGAACGTTGCTCTCAGAGACATTGACGGCCGAGAGGAGTTATAAATGCCGCGTCTCTGAGGTCCTGGGGTCCCTGACTCCCGCACCTAATGCAAACCCCTCTGTCTAACCTGTCGCCTGTGTGATGCATACTTGAATAATTCTGGTCTAAAGCTCAAGGTCATCTTTTACTGATCAATACTTTTTCAATTCCTAGACCCCTTCGTCCAGGCTCTCGGCCATGGCTTCCGGTGAAAACTCCGAAGGCACGAGCCAGAGCAACGGGCTTGCCGTAAGGAGCCTCAGCGCTGAGGGCAGGGAGCCAAAGAAGCTCATCCTCTGCTTCGATGGCACCGGCAACGCATTCACCGGGTCCAATGCCGATACCAATGTTGTTAAGCTCTTACAAAAGCTGGATCGAAATGCCCCCAATCAGTATCATTACTATCAAAGTGAGTGGCATCTGTTTTATTTTACCCCTGAAGACCCATTGAGGGCTCCATATTACAGGCTGGGATTACTTACACTTCCCCAGCCGGAATCGGTACCTACGACGTCAACGAAACTTCTGTAAACAAATCATGGTTTGGTCAGTTGAAGAGTTCCATGTCTCAAACCATCGATCAAGGTATTGGCACCACGTTCGATGCACATGTTATGGCCGGCTACCGCTTTCTGATGCGTTACTACGATCCTGTAAGTGGGCATACCCCTACCCCTGGATACCCCTGAATGAGATAGTGCAGCTACCCACCTGTCCGCCTTTTTGCTTACCCCCTTTTTTTCACCAGGGCGACAGAATTTACATGTTCGGATTCAGCCGTGGCGCCTTCACAGCCAAGTTCCTCGCACGTATGATTCACACCGTGGGACTCCTCTGCAAGGGCAACGAGGAGATGGTCCCCTTCGCATTCCGCCTCTACCAGCGCTACCTCGCCGGGGAGACGGAAGACTTCTTAGTAGCGCATCCCAAGGGGAGAAGAACGCCCCAACCGGGCGAACCCCCCCATAAGATTGGAACCGACGCCAACCCTGTGCTTGACGGCCACGCCCACCACGACGATGGGAATCAACCCCGCCACGGACGCAGATTCGGCCGGGCCCGCGACGAAATCACGGCTTTCAGCAACACTTTCTGCCGCAACGAAGAGGTCATGCACTGCGGAGTCGTCGAACAGACGAACATCAAGGTGTACTTCCTCGGCATCTGGGACTGCGTCAACTCTGTCGCCGTCTTGGAGAAAGAAGCCCCCGTTCCTGTCCCTGTCAAGGGCACGGCGCATTTTGTCCGCCACGCCGTCGCTGTTGATGAGCGCCGTGTCAAGTTCAAGCCGGCCCTCCTCGCTCAGGATATCCGAGGGTCGGATCACAACGATGAGGATATCAAAGAGGTTTGGTTCCCCGGCTGCCATGGCGATGTCGGTGGTGGTTGGCCTGCCTCGGAAGACAACCCCCTGGATACCAAGAAGAATATGAGCTTCTGGCAGCGCATTACGAACTTTTGGACGTCGAGGAAGGCCACGGCTCCCAGCAGGGATATCCGACGGGACCCTTTCCAGCTGAGCGATATCCCCCTGGCTTGGATGATCCGTGAGCTCGAGCTCGTGGGTGAACTGGACCCTGCAGGTGCAGTCAAGTGGTGCAAGAGCGTCAATGGATTCAAGCGGCGGTTTCAGAAGAGGAAAGAGCAGGCTCTCAGAGGTGCTCTGCACGATTCTCTTACCTTTGGTCAGGGTACGGGCTTCTTCAAGGTGTTGTTCTGGAAATGGATGGGTAAGTCGAAGCATCCGTGGAGAAGTCCCGTGGCTGTCTCCGTCTCCCTTAGGCTTTGCACTTTATTAGGTCTGTTCAGGTTGAGAACTGACACGACAGAGAATGGCTGCCCACTATCACTCGGTGGGAGCTCGAGAACAACGAATGGGTAAATGTCCGTTTCCCACTAAACAAAGGCCACGCCCGCGATATACCGACCGACGCAGTCCTGCACGAGTCCCTTATCTGGCGGCTAAAGAATGACCCCGCCTACGGGCCCCTGAATAACCATGGCGGACGGCTGCCCCCTTGTCTCAAGAATAAGGACTGCGTATCCGAATTTGAGCCTGCTCTGGACATTAAGGGACAGAGTGACCCTGACCACCAAGTCTATCAATTTGCCAGTGCAGTTCAAGACCGCATAAACGGTAATTAACGTATGATACGTATCAGGGGTACCAAGATCAATATTATCGAGAATGGAAATGATTACACGTATGCTTTGCTTGCAATGAACTATCTGGGATGGGAACGTGATAGCACTCTGAGATCGAAGTTGGAATTTCAACTGGCAAAATTGGCATATTCCATCGAACCACCAGGGTCATTTCCGAGAGCTACACGCCTCCGTGTGAGAGGGCAAGCTAAATTGTGGAGTTAACTGAAGCGTTTGACGCTGTACTGCCCAATTCTCGTTAGGGGAGAACAACAGAAGATGCGATTTGCGAGCTGTATAAGGTAAATAATCAAGGCTCGAAGCTGGGCCTTCTGGACTCATTGCCGTAGTAGTCGTGAAGTGGGACCCGGAATGATCTTTTAACGGGTCGGTACCCGGATGCGGCCCGTTCCGTTCCCCACGTGGTCGGAGGCCAGCCGTACCAACCTCTCACACACGTCTATGATCAAATTGCTTCGTTTCCCTTTTGAAACTCGCGTCCCATGTCAAATCTCGATTTCTATAAAGTCCCAGCCGGATGCAACATGTCCACCCCCAAAAGTCTACCCATCCGGGCCATCCCACCCCAAGAATGCACGCCCTGCCGTATATGAGTGATTGCATCTTGTGGCCTCTGTGTTTGACAGTTGACTCTCCGATATCGTCTCCTGCGACGACGTGGCCTGCCCAACCACATTCGTCACCTTGATAATACGCCGAGTGCTGTCATTGTCCCCGGTGTGATTGCTGTTACTCTGAGAGTCGTTGTCGTTATCGTTACCGTCTCCATCCCCCACCGTCACCTGCAAGATGGAGTCGTAGGGTTGACGAATATGCCGTGCCTTCATATGCCCTATGGTCACCAGGTCGGTGTTGGCCGAGTTATTATGATCCTTCGTGCTGTCGTCGTCGCAGAGGTGCTTGAAGAAGGCCCGCAACATGGGTAGGGAACCTGCAATGATGCCGAGGCTGCCGAGCCCACATTCGACGACTGTCCAGAGCAAAATGGTTACGGCATGGTCTGTGTTATGACGATCGGTCAGCTTTGATGTGCCCAGGCGGGCCGCTGGACAACAGGAGAACATATCTAGAGTCCAGACCAGGTGGAGAAGACGAAGAGGGCTGGTAGTCCTCACATAAAACATCTGCCTCTTCCATACAGGCATCAGTGAAGGGTAATGTATCTACTCGAGTCGTCTCACTTTATTGTCCTCCTAGTGGGCTAAGGATTGATAACCCCGAAGTCTGAAGACTGAGGGGCGGTCCCTGCCGCCAACCGTATCCCCCCTGTCTAACTGGGGATGATGGGGGTGGGTTGTGAATTGTCTGTTGGGCCCAAACTGGTAAGCCCAGGTGCAAACTTCGTCTTCCATAGGCTCATATCACCCGGGAAGTAGGGTCGCGTAAATTATAATAGCTATCCGTACCAAGTAATCAGCCTCGGCACGAATGCAATGCCTCGTTGTGTCTGCAAGTATTACTGCATCATGTGCATCTGTATCTGCAGTGCCATTCGCACGTGTGCTAACTTGCTGGCCGATATATGGATTGTTTCTCTACGTATCTTTATATCGGACATCTTCTAGACACTGCGGGCTTCGGACAAGCGGCAAGCCGTGGGATCGTCAGAATCGAGGGCTGTGAGCGGTTGGCGTTGGCGAGTCGCGACAGCATGTCTCGTCTGAATCAAGGAATCTCCCGGCCAAAACTGGCAGACTCAGCTCTATCAGTATTCCGCTCGCGTCTCTCCCCCTCCTCACTTCCCTGGCGAGTCCTAGGCTCTGGAACATTAAACGACTAAAACCAGGAATCTATAAGAGTGTCGCAACCAACAAGCGGAAAACCTGGTTCTTTTCTCCCAGTCTTAACTGTTCTCTTGCCACCCAATTAACACACAATTTCTTTGATCCCTTCATTATTGCCCACCCTCCAGGCGCCAGACGGACATAGACTTCAAAATGGCAGGATACGACGTCAACGGCAAAGTCGCCCTCGTTACCGGTGCAGGGTCTGGTAAGCAACCTTCTCCTTTCTCTTACGCTTCCCCTACCCCTACCCTTACTACCCACGTGTTTTGCGGACCGCTCTTCGTCACCGGACAGGGATGTTGATCTTAACTATTCCTCCTCCAAAACAAAAACTACAGGCATGTGTCTTAGCTTGACCCAGGAGCTCCTGAAGGCAGGCTGCTCAGTGATGATCGGCGACCTCACACTCCGTCCCGAAGCCGAAGCAACAGCCGCCCAGCACCCACACCCGCCCCGCAAAGCCGGCAACCCCTCAGTAGCCTTCCACAAGACCGACGTGACGGACTGGTCGCAGCTGACCTCCCTCTGGGAGACGGCCCTCAAGACCTTCGGCCGCGTCGACATCCTCGTCAACGGCGCCGGCATCTTCGAGCCCCCCTGGACCGCCTTCTGGAACCCGCCCGGCGTATCGCCCGAGGCCAAGGACCCGGCTGATGCCTCGGTCGGCGCTTACCAGATCTTCTCCGTCAACACCATCGCGCCTATCCGCCTCGCCCAGATCGCTATTGACTACTGGCTGCAGAACCGGGAGGTCAAGGGCAACTTGTTGTGGGTGTCCAGTGTGGGTGGATATCTACACTCCATCCAAACGCCGTTGTACTTTGCCAGCAAAGCGGCCATTCTCAGTGTTGCCAAGTCGCTCCAGGGCTTGAAACAGCTGGTGGGCATTCGGAACTCGGTGATTTGTCCGGGGCCAGCCAGAGTGCGTCCATCTCCCCTTTCCCCCCTATTCCCCTTTCCCGTCACCTCCTTTTCCATCGTCATCGGCTTTCCAGTTAAACCCAACCCAACAATACCCACCCTCTCTTCCCTTTTATTTCTCCCCTTCGTCGACGCCTCAGCATGTGATGAATACCACATAAATCTCACACGTTTCACCCCAATCCCTAGACCCCCCTATTCGACCAAGAGTTCTGCCGCGACCGCCTAGGCCAAGACGACCTCGCCCTATCCTCCGAGGACCTCGCCGTCGTCATGATGCAGCTCCTCACCGAGGCGAAATACGGCAACGGCACCGTCCTGGAGGTTCTGATGGCGGGCAGCAAGGAGGGGCCGAAGATCCACCAGAGGGAGGTCCAGCTCGAGGCGCTGTACCCGACCGTCAACCCCCTGGAAGGTGGCAGCAAGGTCATGGAGGAGGAGCGAAAGTTCATGGGGCTTATCGCTGAGAAGGGAATGCGGTCCACGTGTTAAGCGTGTTGTTGTCCCCGTCAAACCTTGCTCGCGTGGGTGGATTATGGGACGTTTCGCGAGCAGCGACTCGTATGGGAGATTGATGCTGACCTGAGTAGCAATTTCTGGTATACACTAAATAAAGCACAAAGGAGCTCCGGCCATTCCCAAAATATCTAATACATAGTAGTATACATATAATGTGACAAGAAATATCGTTAAAAGTCAATTTGAATCCTTTTTCTCTAAACGGCAGGCAAGCAATACAAAACCCCCCTCCCCCGTCCTGATTTTAAAGAGAAATTACTGGGCCTTAGCCTTACCGGCCTCCACGTCCGACGGACTCGGCGACGAACCACTGCCATTAACATGCGAAGCGATGGGTTCCTCGCTGTTACTCCGTTCCCCCCGCTTCTCCCTAATCTCAGCCCTCGCACCCGCAGCCGCAGCGTCGTTAACGCCGGCATCGTCGTCGTAGGCGTTCGGGTCGCGCTTCTCGCGGGTGATGTAGCCGGGGGGCACCCACTTGTTGGAGGTCCAGGGCTTGACGTGGGGCTGGCCGTACATGCGGTCGACGTTCTCGAGGGAAAGGGCACGGGACTCGTAGAAGAAGAACCAGATGACGGCGGCGCCGACCAGGTTGCAGGCGACGAAGACGTAGCCATAGGCGTAGCCGATGCCGTCGTCGGCGATGGGGGAGAGGAAGGAGATGAGGAAGTTGCCGAGCCAGTTGCAGGCGGTGGCGAAGGAGGCTTGCTTGGCGCGGGTCCGGACGGGGAAGGTCTCGCCGATGACGACCCAGGCCATGGGACCCCAGGTTCTGTCGTCGAATGTTAGCTTGAATTCGTGAAAAAGGGGCGGTCAAGGGGCCCAAAAGAAAAAAGAAAAAAAGGGGGGGGGGGTTAATGGGAGCGAGCACAAGGGACAGGCGAAGCATACCCGGCAAACGAGGCGATGAACATGCAAGCGGCGACAATCATGACGATACCGGTGGTGGGGTTGTCCTCAGGGGGCAGGGCCACACCGACGGAAGCGAAGATGCAAAGCCAGACGGCCTGCCACAAGGCACCGAGGAAGAGCGGCCAGCGTCGACCGTACTTTTCGACGATATAAAGGCCGTAGAAGGTCATGACGACGTTGACAGCGCCGAGGATGAGCTGGGTCAGGATGGGATCGTCCACACCGGCGGACTCGAAGATGGTAGCGCCGTAGTAGAAGAAGTAATTAACGCCAGTCCACTGCTGGAGGAAGTGGATGCCGGCGCCGAGGAAGGTGCGGTAGACGAGCTTAGGGATGCCGGAAGGCCTGCCCGTAAAACACTCGGCCCAGGAGCCGACGCCAACACGGGATTCCTCCTCGAGGACCTTGTACATTTCCCTGACGTCCATCTCGACGAGCTGATGCTGGGGATCATGTTTCAGACCGCGGAGGCGGGCCAGGGACAAGCGGGCGCCGTCCCAATCGTGGCGGGCGGCCAACCAACGAGGCGACTCGGGGACGGCAAGGACGCCGATACCGAGGGGCAGGGAGAAGGCGAGTCCCAGACCGATGACGATGCGCCACGAGGCGTCGGAATCCTGGATGTTGCGGACACCAAAGTTGATGATGTTGGAAATGAGGATACCGAATGTGATGGCGAGCTGGTACGAGGCGACAACGGCGCCGCGGATCTCGCGCGGGGCGCACTCGGACTGGAACATGGGCACACCGACGGAGAGGTTACCGACACCGAGACCGGCGACGAAGCGGCCCATCATCATGTGGACCCAGGTGTTCATGGCGGTGATCTGGACGATGTTGCCGATGATGAAGATGGCGACACCAAACGACAGTGACTTTCGGCGTCCCCACCAGTCGGCGGTATACGCGCCGGACAAGGCACCCAGGAGGGTACCGATGCTCATGAGGGAGACGAGGAGGGACTGGAGCAAAGGGTTCCAGTCGGCGTTGCCATCGCTGTCGGTTTCGGTGGCGAAGCGGCGGCGGAAGTCGGTGAAGAGGAGCATGCCGGAAATCTGACCGGTATCGTAGCCGAAGAGGAAGCCTCCTATGCTGGTGACGACACCAAGCAGGATAGCTTCCACGCCGCACTCGGCGCCATTGATGCGCACCGATCTGTTTTGTCAGTACGCATCAGGACGAAGGACGCAGGATGAGGGGATGAGGGGGAATTAGGGAGTCCAGCGGTGATAGTAAAAGGGGAACAGGAGGGAGCAGGACTTACAGTTTACCCAGCCCCATAACGACGACCACGGCCGAAAGGTCAACTCAACTCGCTGTTTGGTGGTCTGCTTCGAAGGTACTTGACGGATTATCAAAGGTGTGGTGACAGGTGAATCGTGTTAGAAAATTTCGGTATCGCTGTTCGGTCTCTACGACGAAGGGACGGTGGGGGAGGTGTAAGGGTGAAGTAGGTGACGGGGGAGGACAAGCAAAGATGGCGTGTGAAAGGAAGGTGATGCAGACAATAAGGAGAAAAGGAGGGAAGAAGGGGATTAAGAATGAGGACAGCAACGATGATGGGTCTTGTATCGTGTTCGTACGTAAGAGAGTGCCTTGGTGCGTGTGATCTCCGTAATTATATGACGTACGCAGGAAGGGGGTAAAAAGGGAAAAGGGAACGTGACCACAAGTTAGGAGGCCTGGGGTTGGGGTGTCTTCAAACTTTCGTGTCTCTTTTTTCTTCTTCTTTTTTTCTTTTGTTCTTCTTTTTTTTAGCGGCATTTTCCTGGACGAAGCCATGCTAGTCACGAGGAAGACGCCTTCGCAGACTCGGGCCACTAGCCTGCCACATGTAGTTCCTTGGACGATGGATTTGGAACTCGACATGTTGAACAAGTCTCAGCTCATCGCGCACTGCAAGTATGACGTTGCAGCCAAGCCTTGTCGGTTTTTCAAGCCGCCCCGGTTGGGTCAACCGTGGTGTTGGGAGTCGATGAGCGAGGAGACGCGCAAGGAGCCGGGCACCATGGCCTGCTTCTGACATTGCTCACCTGTCTTCCCCGATATGAACGTTCTAAGCGTACACAATGCAGATCGGTCCTCGTCCAGCTGACGTGACGTATGAAGCGACCAACACACAAGGAGGAACCTCACCACGGTTTTGTTCTGTTTGCGGGCATGGGTAAGTGGCGTCTGGAGTCCCGAGCGCAAGCGTCTTGGCTCTGAGCCGTGATTTGCGGAGAAGAATTAGAGCCAGGATGGAGACGACAGGGGACAAGAGCCGACATTCGTCCTAGTCTCGATCCAGACGACTGGACTAGTCCCGACTAGAAGGCCGCCGTCTGCTTCGATGGAAGGCTGAGCCATTTGTTTTCTTTCTTATGGAGGCTGGCGTATCGAGAGTACACCACCAAGAAAGAAGAAAGAAAAAAATGAGCCCGAAGAAAACGCCGAGAACCTCGAAAAGAGAAGAGACCCGTTGGATTTTGCGGCGCCGCTTTTGAGCTAGTCCTCAGTCTTCTGGGACCGGTGGTAATTCGGTCGATTCATGTCGAATGGCGAAACAAAAGCATGACGGATGTAACTAGCAGCGCCTTTATTTTTCGTGGTTCGTGTGGTGCGAGGGCAGACTTCTGGGTCTTCTGGGCGAGACGGGAGAATGGGAGAAAATTGGCAAAAAGCTTGGTGTAAAAAAAGCCTTTCTTGGTAGGGTTGTGGCTGAACCACGGCGGAAAGTATTATGTAAGCCGCATGACCAGCCACTCCAGCCACCACCACTAACCCAAAATTCGCAAGCCAAATTTCAGCCCCCACTCTTCACAGGAAAGCTGACCCGGTGCCAGTGCCAAAAACAGATGCCCCTCATCTGATACTTGGCTGTCGTCATCACGCATCGTACCCCTACTACCACTGTCGTCATGACCGTCCTGGGCATTCTCATTTCTCCCCAAGAAGCTCCATGTCACCTCGGCCATCAAGACATTACGAAGGACTTCACAATTACATGTCCTCCGAAACCTTTGAAACAAGAGAGAGCAACCCCCGCCTTTTGGTCTCTTCGGAGGTATAGGTATTACTGTATTACATAATGACACCGCACTTGAAGACCCTCTCCACAGGCCTCGGTATTGCCCGTCGTGAATGTGATTCCGACATCCCACTATTACAGGAATACAGATTAGCATCGTGAACGCCATTATAACCTCAAAAGACCAAACACTTTCTCGCAATCGTCCCTGGCCAGCTCCGGGACGGCCAAAGCGGAGCCTACCCCGCTATCCTAGTGGATGGCGCCGCCGAATCCAAATACGATTGGATACCTTCACGAACTGTTGGCCCTAACAGATTCTCGGCTTCGACGGCGAAGCGAACCCCTTGATGTCGGTGTATATTACTAGGAGACTGGGCACTAACAATACGCACTAAAAATATTAAAAGCACGCATTATAGATCATTCCTACCCTTTCACACCTCCCGTGAACTAAAGCCACTCGTTTTGGAAACCGAATACCCCTATAATTGACCACAGCTCGTCCCCTATGTCCAGATATGTCCGGGTGCCTTTACTGCTGCTAGGTATTGTACTCACTCGATATTCTTAGTCGTCATTCCATCTGGAGCACATTGGGGACTTAATAACAGAACGGAGGGAGGGGCCGATCCAGTGACAAGAACACGGCTAATGTTTCCTGTTCCTTTTTTTCCCTCTTCAATTTCATCTTTAGAACAATGCTCCGTAACCGGTTCGCGTTCTATATCGACCCTTCTTTCTCAACGTCTCCCTGGCGAGAATGTAGGCAGCAATGGCGGCCACCCATATCAACGGCAACATAGGAACCTTTCCCTCCACGTGTCGTTGACGGGGACCCGGCGCGCGGGATATCACAGGAGAACATCATAATCATAATGAAAGTGGAGACGGCAATACATGTACGCCAGGCAATGTCTTCAGGACGTTAAACCTGGTGGTGGTTCTTGGGGATGGCCGTAGTGACGTTCGTGTCACCAGCAGAAGTCGGCCGGCGAGGGCACAACGTGACGGGATGACATGTGGGCAGAGTAGAATGAGAGAATGGAAAGAGAAACTGTGGCATAACGTAAGAGACGCACTATGTCGACTAAAGCCTCAACGTAAGAGACCAAGGATAAGAGCCTTGATGGTGAGGCCAGATGCAAGCCGGGAGCATAGTTGCTCCTTTCCACCAAATACTCACCCTTCCTTTCCTTCTTTTCTGCTTCTTCGAATATATTTTCACATCAGATCCCTCCACCCCCATAACGCCATCTCCAAGACCCTGTTTGCTCATGTATAAGCGGCGCAATCAGAAGGTGTCCGATATGCCCATGATGGAACGTTGGTTTCCGCTGTCTTCAGGAGTCAGATATTATGGTTTTACAAATCTCTCGCAAGCTGGTTACTATAGTAGACTAGTAGTAATCTGGCATATGTCGAGCATAGGGCCAGAAGACTAGAAAGTATCCTTGGGTTCTGTTATTTGACCACAGTTGGGCTATTGCATTGTTTCACACTTGCCAGAACTCAGGGGCAAAAGAAAGCTTCGCATCACGCTCCGAACGGTCCCAGCAAACATCAACATGAAGTGTTTGGTATTCTCGCCTACAAACCGCATCTCAACTTGTCCAACTGACCTTTCAGTCCATCCTGCAGCCTAGGGTCAATGAGTGACGGGCTGTGACCTGTTCCTGGGTAGCCAGTTGCCCCGGTATCGCTGCGCGATCTCCTAGAACTACCTGCGACCGACCTGATCTTTGGGTGGGAAGGTCTTTTAAAGGCTAACTATACTGGATATACGTCTCTTCCAACATATTAAGAGATTATGTCACGCCTTGTGCAACTATGAGTGTGCCTTGAGACCTGGAGCCACTTAAATGACATCCCGTCTCAGCTCGTCCCCATCAAGGAATGTCTCAGATCTGTTGCCCACAGCGGCATTTTTATAATCCAAGCAAGTTGCACAGTTGCACTTGATGTCTTCACCGGGTTGACTGTGATGATGTGATTGCGCTGTTGGGCAGACAGACAGTTACTGTCCATCCTCCACTTCACCCTGTCGTTCTTATCACGTCTGAGCCAACACGAGCCGTGCCGCCTTTTACCCAGATCATATTGAGGACCCTCGATATTGTTCTTCCCACTTGTGGGAAATCATAGAACATTGATATGGCCTGGTAACAATCGTTTCATTCTACATCGAATCCCCTGTCCACCAGGTGTGTCTCCTTTAGTACTAGGTCGTCCTATTCTGTGTATGCACTGTTTTCAATGTTCGCATTAATCAGTTGCTGGGATTTCCAAAACTTTAGTGGTGCCATGACAGAAGAAAGTCTCTGCAGAAAAACAGGAGCCGTGAAATGTGTGCGGTCCTATGCTTCTTCCTGCGTCAACTTAATGCACTTCTGCTGGCTGTTGGTGCCTGATGTACATGTATCATTTGTGTCCGTGTGCAGGAGTGTGCAGGACCCTGACACTCTGTCGTCTATTTTTATCAACTATCACATTGATGTATAGGCAGGGAACAAACATAACGAATTAGTGGTGAACGAGGTAGTGCATCCTACAGTGTTTGGTCAAGGAATCCTCCATAATGCTTCGTGTTTCCAATTGATTTTTTGACTTCCTGTATTCTATACAGGCCTCAATTCCCATTTGATCATATACCAAAGAACGTCATGAAGAGGCCTAAGCTAAGGCGGGTGAAGAGAGCATATAACAGCTGTGGTGGAACACCAAGTAAAATAGCGTGCACCGGGGCAACAAACTGCCGACATGCCCAGATTTGTGACGGCAACTAGACGGTAACAGAACAGTGCATGTGATAATGGGATAAGGATCGCGGCAGTGCATCGGTGACTTAAACATGACAGGGGGTTAGCGCCGACGCAGAATCCTTGACAGGGCTGACCAGGGCTGGGGGTAGACGGGAGACCCGACGGGACAAGAATGAGGGAATCGTTGCAGTGGCTGTTAAGCTGTTCAAGACACGCAGGTGAAGACGAAAAAAAAAGAAACGAAAATGATTGAAGAAATCCCGCCGGCCAACGAGAGCTAGAATTGCAGCAGTCCGGGTTGAATTTGACGAGAATATCGTCTCGCACGCCCTCGACCATATCTCTTGAAGAAAACATAGATCGGAGGGTTGAGATGAGACACGGAATGTAGGCGTTAGTCACACCAGATATGTTTGTTTTATTTTGATTTTAAGAATGAACTTGAAGCTTATGACAGCAATCACAAAAACTGATGTGCAGCGCGTATCTTATTCAAGCTAGGCAGGTCGTGATATGAGGCATGCAATGAGCTTGGTCAGACCGCCAGATGAGACGAGGAGGGAGCGCCGCGAGCGCGCAATGCAGACTACGTAAAGTCTTCACCGACGTCATCCTGCAGAGAATCCACGTAGAATGTAGGATTGAGGAGATGTTGCAATTGAGTTGAGCTCGATATCGTCTCAACATGAAGGCATCGCCGGTATCACGACGTCGAGAAGTACAGAATAGGCAGGCGTGTAGTATCGTGAGGATGCCAGTTCGCTCAACTTCATGTTCTGAAGCGGCCGCGATAGATGATAGAGATCGAGCTCCCTGTTCTGTATGGTTTGATGTCGATCCTATGCGACTGATACGGTGAGCAGCTTGGAGAACCGTGCCGAGAATGGCATCACATGGGAGAAGCCTGCCGCGGATCGTCTTCAACCTCAGATGGCAGCAGCGATATCACGCCAGAGCCGTGACGGGGCCGACTGGGCTTCACTTTTTTCTCTGAAAAGGCCGGAAGAAGTAAAAAGGCGAAGTGCGACCATACCTATCGTGCACATTGTAGCGGGCAGAACGGACGTTCAGGTGTCTTTAGGGGTATTTTCCGTGGTGATCACTGCACTGGGACGATCTTTGTATGTTCCGAGGCGATATCCCCGAGGCTATTCTACCACGATCGCGATCCTGGAGCCGCTGTTGACGCTGGACCAGGGTTTGAATAATCCAGTCGTCTTTCACGGCATCGGCGTGATACTTTGATTTAATTAGGGGGAAAGAAGAAAAAAAAAACGGACACGAAACAAGAAAGTGGATGGATTGTCGGGGGGTGTTTAGGGACTTTGGTGTCGTAGGTAGGTGTAAATTGGGTATAAAATAAAATACACCATTATAATGCCGATTTCGAAGAGGAATGATCGTCGGTTTTTTTATCGTTTATTCCTTGCTCTGCTCGAATAGGGTCTCGTGGTGGGGACAGTATGGAGAGGCGATTGATAACACATTCCGCTCTCGGCAAGGATCCTCCCCCATGGGAATCGGGTGGTCGACAGACGCAAGGACGGCGAGCAAGAGAAAGCGCTTGGTCCAAGCCTACCAGATGAAGAACCAAGGAAAAAGACACGAGGGGATATTAAGTGTTGACGAGTTCAGGATTGTTAGGTCGTGGTGCATCAACCACGGCGTTGGCTCCGTTTCCCCCTTTTCGTCTCTGGTCCCAGTTGTCAGTCAGGGTGGCTCTAGCTCTCCGAGTGTCTCTTGTGCCTTGTGCGACTGAATGGTTGGATTGGATGAAAAAAGGGGACATGGATGAAACAACGGTAGTGGCATGGATTCGGGGCCAACGGGAATAAAAGGGGGGGGCATGGGACATAGACATGGGGCGTTAGGGCCGAAGACGGCGAGAGCTCTCTGTGGGGAGTAATGTTCTACCAAAAGAAGTGCATGATTCAAGGTGTGGCTTGGACATGCTAACATAATGGTATTGGCGACCGTTGACTCGTCCGTTTAGGAGTGAACAAGATGAGCATGGGAGACCACAGCCCGGTTTTTCAGGGGTTGACGTCCAGTAGGAGCAGGATGCGGCGCAAGTCAGGGGATACGGGAGATCTGCGACCACGAATCACATGCTGAACACATGCGGACCTTTGGATGTGTCTAAATGAACTTGTGTCGGCGTTGGTCCGGCGTCTGTTTGTCAGTCTTTGGTTGGGACAAGTTGTGAATCCGTGGTCATCTCTCGAATCCGTCGGTTCCGTTCAAGGTTGTGGGTTGCCACATCAGCCCCCCCTCTTGGACCCATGGACCATCCGGCAGATGTCCAACTGCCGTTAGCCATTCCCAGACTAGGGTAACACACTAAATAAGCTACATACGCAGGCGCCACTGAAGACCGCTATTGGCCTGGCGCAGATACGAAGGGGCCCAGTTCCCTTCTCACGGATCTACAGGGGACTGCCATCTGGGGGAGGTGGATGGGCCAGGATGGCTGACCAGCTGCCCCAGCATAAGATGATCGTCCTGCCCTTTCGGCAGCGATGCCCTGGCCTTGATAGCTACCAGACTGGGATGTTGCCTGGATGGTCCTTGTTTCCTTGGCCCTCCTCTTCCCATCACCATCACAGCTCTTTGCTCTCTTTTCTCCCAGTCTCACTCGTCCTAGTCCAGCGACTTGCCCTCCACAGCCTCCATCTCGCGAATCCATGTCCAGAGATCTGCTGTCCAAGCCTACCTTATTCGGCCGACCTTCTAGAATAGGGACGAGCCTCGCATCGTGGGGTAGCTTTGTTTGTAACAACCAGACACCTCTTTTCCCTGGGCGGGCGGAGCCATGGAGTGGAACGAGGGGGCGAAGGTCCCGTGAACGCCGTGCTCTAGGATGAGCAGGATCGATAAGGTCGATGGATATACGAGTGGATAGTATCCGCCAGTCTTGAAGCTTCGATTTCATGAGAAGTTATATAAGAACGGTCACATCTCGTCTTGTCACACATTACCCCTTCCTGTCTTCCACTACCATCCGCATCCAGCCATCATCACTCTCCTTGACTCTCGTCGCTCAGTCCAGTCCGCCCGTCTAGACTTCTTTTCTCTTCTCGTATATACCCCATCATTCAAACAAGATGCATTACTCTACCCTCCTCGCCCTCCTCCCGGCCATGGCCATGGCCTCTCCCCTTGCCGCCCAGACCAAGCGCGATGTCCCGGCTCCCCTCCTCAAGCCCCGCGGCGCCGACATCCTCGCCGACAAGTACATCGTCAAGATGAAGGACGGTCTCCGGTCCTCTTCCATCCAGAGCACCATCTCCACCTACGCCGCCAAGGCCGACCACGTCTACAAGCTGAGCCACCTGCGCGGCTTCGCCGGCACCCTGACCGCCGAGGAGCTCCAGACCCTCCGCGACGACCCAAACGTCGAGTACATCGAGCACGACGCCGTCATACGCAAGTTTGACGTCCAGGAAAACGCGCCTTGGGGTCTTGCCCGTCTGTCTAGCAGCGCTGCGGGTGCCACCTCGTATGCCTACGACAGCAGCGCCGGTGCCGGCACTTGCGCTTACGTTGTGGACACTGGCATTGATGTTAACCACCCTGTGAGCCATTATCCTCTCTCTCTCTCTCTTTTTTTCTTTTCTTTTTTCTTTCTCTTAATACGATTATACGACTGCCCAAAAGACTCAAACATTGGCTAACGTTTCCCCTCGCAGGACTTCAACGGCCGCGCCACCTGGGGCGGCAACTTCGTCGACACTGACAACACCGACGGCGACGGCCACGGCACCCACGTCGCCGGCACCATTGGCGGCACCACCTTCGGCGTGGCCAAGCAGACCTCCCTCTACGCCGTCAAGGTGCTCGACGCCAACGGCTTCGGCACCATCGCCGGCGTCATGGCCGGCATGGAGTTCACCGTCACCGACTCGCCCTCGCGCAGCTGCCCCAGCGGCGTCGTCGTCAACATGTCCCTCGGCGGCGGCTACTCCGCCACCCTCAACGCCGCGGCCGCCGCCGTCGTCAACGCCGGGCTCTTCCTCGCCGTGGCGGCCGGCAACGAGGCCCAGGATGCGGGCAACGTCTCCCCTGCTTCCGAAGTCAGCGCGTGCACTGTCGGTGCCACTACCTCTTTCGACTCGCTTGCGTCGTTCTCCAACTTTGGCAGCGTCGTGGACATTCTTGCGCCGGGTGACAATGTTGAGAGCGCTTTGCCCGGTGGTAGCTCTGTACGTTAATTCTGCGGTCTCTGCTTTCCCTTGACTTGATACAAAACACGTGCTAACGCGACTTGACGGTATGACAGGGCTCCTTCTCTGGCACTTCCATGGCTTCCCCCCATGTTGCCGGCCTGGCTGCCTACTTCCTCGCCCTCGGCGGCGCCCCCTCCGACCCCGTCGGTCTCTGCAGCTACATCGGCGAGAGTGCCATCAGCGGCGCCATCAGCGGTGTCCCCATCAGCACCGTCAACCTCCTTACCAACAACAACTTTGCCGGCCGCAACTCGACCGCGAAGTACTAAGCGGCGCCAACATTTCCGCGAGTGTTTTCCTTTCATTGTACAAACCAGACCGCACCGTGGATCGGTCCATCTGGATGGATCCTGGCCTCGACGTGCCGGGGACTCCCGCCTGGTTTTGTGCTGAAGCAGAGCGGGTCGAGTATATATAAATAAGCACATGGGCTCTTCCCATCTACCATATTGTGTCTTTGGCGGGCGGCTGTACTGGACTTGAGGCTTTATGAGAGTCGGAGTCTCACGACGAGTGATGACTGGATGGATATATAGGGAGTCTTACAGTTTTTAGCAGCTTCGGCGATGCATGGACTTTTGAATAGATGCTTTGACGATCACATGGCGAGAGCATATTGTGCTCAAGCTGCCTCCCAGCTCCTTTTGCAAACAATGCTCCCTAGGACCATGATTCAACGGCCACATCGGGTGACATCAAATGCCACCAAGTGTTCCTCACTGGCTGGGCTCCAGCATCACATAGTCCTTAATGACAGCACTTCCATCCCTCAGAGCCGCAATCTGCGCCGCGCCATACGTGCTGGGGGACAGAATATAACAATAGTCCTCATACTGCTCCGGCATCTCGCTCCTAATATGAAACGTATCCTCGGGTCCCTCCGTGGCGTAATCAGGGTTGGCAGCCGTGTCAACCCGGCCGGTAGCGATATCGCGGTCAAACAACGCGCGGTTGAAAATCCGATAGGCCGTTTCAGGTTGGTAGGCCGGAACGGCATGACCGGCCTGGAAGACGCGGGCGTACGACAGGTTCCCGTACTGGCGGACCTGCCCACCAACATACGTGCAGTTGGTCGCCAGATCGGCGTACCCCGCCGCCGCGAACTCTTCCTGGTTATCCCATGGAATGGCGAGAGACGCCGCTTCGCCTCCGATCCAGTTGCAGGCGTAGTCCCTGTCTCCGTACATGAGCGTCACCTTGATGCCGCTGTGCAGGAGGTACGCCAGGTCCTCCAGCCACCCGGGGCGGGGGTAGTCGCCGATCCCGCGGAAGGCTGTGCCCGAGGCTCCCGAACTGCCCGTCCAGTTGAGCGGCACGCCGAGGGCGGATTGGACCCATTCCTGGTTGAGGTAGCCCGGGGAATACGGCGGGGGGAACAGCGTCGGGTCCATCTGTGTGACGTCGTAGTAGTTCCGGCCGGATTGCTGGATGTAGGGGTTCCGGATGTGCTGGACGCAGTAGGACTCGGCGGTCTCGCAGGCGCCGTTCACGGTGGCGTTGATGCCCAGGTGCTCCGGGTCGTAGAGCTCGGACAAGCGGTGGCACTCGTCGATGCGGTCGCTGCATCCACCGGGCCGGCTGAAGGCGTCGACCATGGAGTTGTACCAGGTCTCGCTGACGGCTTCGATGCCGTAGGTGTTGTTGTAGGCCATGACGGGGTAGGACGGCCACTGGGTCTTACGGTCAATGCAGCCGTTGACGATGAGGAGGGTGTCGATGTTGAGGATGAACTTCTCGCCCTCTACGCGCTTCCAGTGTCCGTTTTGGATCTTGTCGTTTTGTTCCTGGAAGTATGCGGCGAAGGCCGGGCCGTAACGGCCCCCATATGACTGCGTGGAAATGCTGATGCGGTCGTCGTTGGGGTGGTAGCCGGGGAACTCCTGGAACCAGACTTGGGCAAAGTGCCAGAGAGAAACGGCGGCGTTGCGACTCCCCTGGGCCGTGGCGTTGCGGTCGTTGCTGGGGTACGTGCCGACGTGGAAGGTGGTGTTCTGCTGCGGAATCGGGTCCCCCGGGTTCAGGGTCCGTACACTGCCGAGCAGATCACGGGTGACGTTTCGTAGGGTGTCGTAAGAGAAGCCGACCTGGACGGGCTGGTCGATGTAGAGCATATTGACTGAGGTTGACTGTGTTAGGTACGGCTGGACCGAGTTGAAGATAGGGGGTGGGAAGGGGGCTGGGGG